AAGATGGCATTCGACTTCGTCGATCAAGAGGTTTCATGGAAGTATCTCACTGAAAGCAGTGCCAAATAAATACTTCACTAGCTTCAAGATTCTTCAATCAAACAACGGTGGGCGTGTCAAAGCCTATGGTGAGTTGTCTATGCAGTCTGCCAGGAATGTCCACCTTATCAATTCTTACTTAAATTAAACAAATATGTATTTATGCAGGTTTCTCTATCTTTCGTCTCCGTGCCCAGGGATTGATCCTATCAAAAGAGAATACTTCGCCAAGTTAGATAACGCAAATGACAGAGCACTGCTACCTGAAGACGTTGACAAACAATTTTTATGAGAGGCAAACTGAGAACATTGCTCCAAAAGTTTCCATACCCTTCACTTTTCACCTACCGCCTAACTGGTTGGAAGAACCACAATGGTGGTCAGTGCATAACGTGACAACGCATGATAAGGCATATTTGTGTTAGGCCAACATCTGTTGACGTAACATGACTAGTTGAGTGGAATCCAGAATGTCATGCGACTCTGTGACCTTGGATCGTAGCAGATATGATTTAGAAACGAGACCAGTGGCGACCATACTGCAACCTTTTTGTTTCTTCTGTTGCTAAGAAGTAAGAAGAAGGTAGGGAGTCCTTCTTTAAATATATAGTGGTTTATAAGTTAGTGCAACTCATATCAGGTCGAGTTGGATGAATCAAATTGATGTAAGTGTAGTGAATTACAGACAATTATGAGGCCAATGGGAACTGATTTGAACTGGATGGAATCAGAGGTTTCAGGAGCTACGTTTCACTGCAAGTGCATATGGTATTTATTAAAATAAGTCACGTCAAGTTTTGCTGTCAGTTACTGATTTCTGTTTTCTCATGGAAAACTAGCCATAAATCATGAGGTTCATCTCACACCTTAAACGGGCAGTTATTGATTGTATCTTGTCATAAAATGTTTTGAACTGCACACTATGGAAAGCAAATCATGCAGACCATTCTATTGCAGTAATAAATTTGTACAGTTTCATATCATATTTCAAAGGTAACACATAAGTTGACATTCAAATTTCAGAGCTTCCTCCGTCGTTTGAATAGATGATTGGAAATACTGAATGTATGAACATAAGTCAGAAAATTTCAAGTTTATATAGTTTTTTGAGGTGAATAAATTTTGTAAAAGAAGATTAAATCTAACTAGTTAATAATTTTTACAAATTCTGACGTTAAGCTTATACCAGTGATAACTTTCGCAATACGCCGTTGACTACTGAAAATAGATGAGGAGTATAGTATTAAAAAACTGAAATAAATAATTCAATTGGTGGGTCATGGAGATTGATTTATTTCACGGCAGTTTTCTTCACAGATTGACATAATTCCGAAGGTCATTGAGTATTTCGTCAACCAATTTCAGTTCATGATGGGAACGTAGATGCCAAACGGCTATCACTGTATGATTACCGAAAACTTTAAGATTAAAATTTCATTTCACGTGAATAACTTCGGGAAAACTATAATTACGCTATACGTCTACTGAAGGATACTTTGGGTAACGTTACGCCGTAAGATATTTGCCGACCACTACGTACTGAACAATACGTTTTTTAGTTTTGAATATCTAAGCCATTTTCAACTCTGACTAGCACTTTTCCCTGAAATAGTGTACTATTTATTAAGAATTCTCATTCCATAGGTCAGATGGCCTGAAATGAGACATCGTCAGAGTCTATCTGTTGCCTACGAATGATATGCCTAGTCTTTCAGTCCAAAAGACAGTCACACTGAGGTGGTTTAAGTACATACGACCAAGAGTAGCAACTTTGTCTGGTGGTCAGATGTGCCTATCATGATGACCCAACCAACTACGTTGGCTCCAATGGTTCTTCCTTGAGATCACATCATATTAAGAAGGTCTGTGACGGGATTCAGAATGCAGGCTTGTGCTGCTGGTTGCACGATATTTCACAGTGTAAAGTTTTTAGCCAGGAAATAACCAGTATCCTTCATTGGAAGAAGGGGTTTTATTTATTATTTATTTAATTTGAAACACTTTGTATACAATGGACACGGAAAGATGTAACCTACAAAACAATGAAAAAACATGGAAAATATATCAGTGATATCATGACAAAGAATAAAGAAGGTAGAGGAGCAAAATTAGGAATAGGTGATTAGAGAAGCACTTCCAAGCATACATTTAAAGAAGGGCATTCTAGATTCCACTCAACCAGTCATGTTACGTCAACAGATGTTAGCCTCACACAAATATGCCTTATCATGCGTTGTCACGTTATGCACTGACCACCATTGTGGTTCTTCCAACCAGTTAGGCGGTAGGTGAAAAGTGAAGGGTATGGGAACTGTTGGAACAACATCCTAAGTAATTCCAAGCAACGGAATTCTGTTTTTCAAGATGACTAAAGTCAATAAATAAAAATCTCCATCACAACAATGCAAGCAGCCTCTCGTGAGAATTATTTAAATGGTGTTTCCGCCAAATGCTCGTAATCCTACGGAGATGGCACTCACCGAACTTGCAGAGTCGTAAAACGTCTTCAGTGCAGATAGGCCAGAATTCATACGTGGAGAGGAAATCTGCTCACACCGATACATACTATACCTGACTTTTCAGTCAGGCTGACGTTATGAAAGAGCCAAAAGTGACCGATGTTAAGCATTAGAAAGGGATACGAATCAAGCAAATGCACTAAGTTATCTTTCTTTCAGAAATGAAAACCTTATAACCTTAAACCTATGTATCTACTTTGCCATGCCTTTTCATAATTTAACATTGACTATTTGCTTAATAAAATCTAGGAACAGTAGTAAATTGGAACAAATTATTAATTATTCATATAACAATATATTTATTGGGGTTCAAATGTAATGAACACACCTAATCTACTAATCATTATGTTCATCTTAAATAGAAGACTGAGGTTAGTAATAGTGATTCGAAACTGGTAATCCATAACCAAGACGAAAAGATTGCGATGAACAGGTGTCAATAAAAACAAGAGGATATGAATACTGTGGTAAAATCAAAGGCAAGTGAAATGAATGTTTTGATGTTTTCTGATGGTTTATATACATTTACAATGACCTTACCTACTTCTAGGTCTTTCCAGAAGAGCATATCCTACTGATTTTTGCTTCTTCATCAACTTCGTGTTAGTACGTGGGCCCACGTGCATTCATTTGCGGATTCGCAGCAAAACGATTGGTTGTGAAAGGCTTCAGGGATTTAGGGCTTATGAAGATCAATGTAAATTTATCGCAGTTTATGACAGAAACTATATCCTGTGGTTTAGCAGACTGATCTTCGTGTAAGAGGTAGTATTTGAAAATGAAGCATACTCTAGTTCAAGACAGGATTCAAACCAGTGGTTTGCAGTTTACCGGTCGAGTGCTTCAGAAAATAAGCCTAAGGTGAGGAGTATGGTAGGAATCTGATGAAACCATTTCAGTCCTCCAAATTTACTGCTAGTTTTGTGAAATTTATTCTGCTCGGTGATATTCTGTAAAAACCCATATTTCTACACGCACTCTCGATAATTAGAAAGGATTTATCACAATTATTTTGATTTTTACATTATTGATCAACTAGTTTCGTAGATCTTAGCTGAAGTCGATAATAGTAATGATTGATAGTGGCTAGCAGTGGAACCTCGCCTGGTTAACTAGTTCACTAGTTACTAGTCGGTCCTAAGCCCGGGTAAAGAGGGAAGGTTGAGCATAGGGCTAGCAACCCTACCCCGTAAAACAAATCTAACCGCTAAAGAAACTTCTAAGCACAAACGAAATATAAAAAATAATAACAAAATTATTCCTCGCTGGAATCGGAGAGGCGAAATGACGCCAGTTTGGTGAAAGCCTTCTGGAACCCAATTAGCCGATGTGTCTTCTCTTGATGAAAGCGAAAGTAAACGTGGGGACATGGAATGTCCGCACGATGTTTGAACCTATCAAGGCAGACCAGATTGCAAAGGAGATGAAGAGGTATCACATCGAAGTGCTTGGAATTTGCGAAAGCAGATGGATTTGGAGTGGACTCTCCAAACTGTCAAGTAGAGAATCAATAATCTATTCCGGTCACCGAGACTTGAGAAACTTAAAGGAAGTAACTTCCTTCACTTATCTAGGAAGCACTGTTTCAACTACAGGCGGCACAGGCACAGACGAGGATGTCAAAGTCAGAATCGGAAACACAGCAATACAGGCGTTCATTAGCCTGAAACCAGTGTGGAGATCTTCTGCACTCAGCATGTGGAGCAAGATGTAGATTTTCAACACCAACGTCAAGTCAGTGCTTCTGTATGGATGAGAGACCTGACGGGTTACGAAACGGATTTCCAATAAACTACAGACATTCATCAACAAATGCCTCTTACGCTGGCTCGTTACTGAAGATCAGATGGATTGCCAGAAAGAATAAGCAACAAGGAGCTCTGGCAACGAACCAACCAAGAACCTATCACCCAACAAATATGCACTGGAAGGAAGTGGAGATGGATTGGGCATACACTGAGAAGGTCGACTGGGGACATCATGCCTCAGACTGTCGAGTGGAACCCAGATGGGAAATAACGAGTTGGGCGTCCAAGCTGAGGGTGACATGGAGGAGATCGTGTGAGGAGGAAATGAGAGCTTGTGGGCTGTCGTGGAACCAGGTTCAAAAGATTTCAGAGAACAGAGTTCACTGGAGACGTGCTACTGAAGCCCTATGTTCCATTAGGAACCCAAAGGACTAATAATAATAATAACAGCAGTGGAATCCAGTATGCGCGTTTTGTCCTATTTGGGACTTGTCAGTTGGATGTATTTGCTTCCCAGTGAGTGATGTTGTTGTTGTCGGTCCAACTAACGACGGTATAATACAAGCAATAATAGTAAAGTCGATAATATTTTGTCCGACTATTCACATTAATCGTAAAAAAGGAATCAAAATAAATACAAACGATCAGGATTATTTTAACTCTATGTAAGATAATACAAGAAACGTAAACTCACGTCTTCTGCTCCATTATTATTTATCATAACGAGCTCATCTTCTCTGTTAGATGTAGTACTGTTTATTTCGTTTTTCATGATCGCATTCATTGAATTTTGAATGTAATTATCTACGATAGGTTTACACGTTTGACAGAGCAGTGATTGTTGTAATAGATCGAAGGTTAAATTCAGAAACAAGGGATCATATTTAAATGGATCGGTCAAACCATTATTATCATTCTTCACTAGATAGTCATTTAATTCCATTGTGATTTTTCTGTAACAAGCAAAAATTCGTCGATGTCTTTCTAGCTCAGCTGAGTTTTCTTCTAGTGCAGTTCGGAACATTTTCTTCACCTAAGAACAAAAAACTTTAAATGATAATAACTACCGATTCTCCATTGTAAACAGCCAGAAACTAAACAAATATAGTTCATAAGCTTCGACAGAAAATAGCTCACTAAAAACGTGCATGTCGTACAGTATATACTACAAAGTGAAATGAGTAGATGTATACTATTCATATGAAGAACGCTTGCTAGTCAAATCGATATTTGCACACTCCATTATGTGCCAAAGATAATATACTACTGCTAACAGTAATTTTTGTTTATACAGACTTCGTTAAGTTGTGCTCGCATGAGCGACCAATTGATTAAAAATACAGTTTCTTAACCAGTAAACCACAAATACAAGATGAAAAGTTGCATTTCATTAATATAAATTTGTCTAGGCGATATATGCTTCATTTCACTGAAAAATTCATTGAGTAAAAGTAGATATGGTTAAGTGGCTGTTAAAGTTTCCAATCAGATCAATCTCTAGAAGGTATACTTCAAACACTAGTGGATTACCTACTACGCAATGGAGTTATGAAAGTGAATTCCCGGGCAGAAAATGGTTAATTAGCTGATTTTTAAGATGAAAATATTTGACAATCAAGAATTCTAAGAAAATCAACATTGCGTATGCACTGAAGAAATAACAATACTGTTGTGTGTAGTAAACTTAAAGGACTCAATGCAGTTTTTTTAATACTAAAATCGATATTACAGTCAGAAAACTAGTCGATTAATTGTGGCAAAGAAAACTATCAGTTAAAAAGATATGAGTTTGAGAACTCAAGCTAACAACAGTTTGAAATGCTAATGTAAATTGACTGAAAAATCAAAAACTTGACCAAAAGAGACAAATACTGTATGTAGCTTTGCTATGCTATACGTAAAAAAATGTTACCTGAAGAACTTCATTTTCCAAATGAGCCTTTTCTTCTAAAGCATCCTGGAAATCCTGTCTAGAGGCAAACAGTTCTCGAGTTAATATTTCGGCTTTGTCTTCCAACTAAAATGAAAGTACAAAAATATACAATACGTTGACTCATTAAATAAGAGTATTTTTGAATTAAGACTAGATGATGGAAATAATACTGCTGGACCTCAAAGACAGTTAAAATAGTTGGCAAAAAAAAACGCAGCCTATTTAAACATCGAGCTATAAAACATTTTCCATCGGATATATTTCATTAAATTCTTCCCTTCCAATTTTCTTAATCTAGTTACATCTTTTGAACATGTCATATACTCTGACAGATTTTTAAAATGTTTTCAAACTGCAGTTTTTTAAGCCAACAAAATAACAAAAGAAAAACGTTACGATGTTAAGAAATAGACTCATAAATATACGAAAATGCAGCACATTGTTATTCTTAGGATACCTATGTGGAATAGCAGATGTCTGTACTGGCTGAATAAACTACCACCATCAAAAGTTTCTATTCACTCACCAACCCAGATCAGACGCTAATGTGCGATAATTATTTCATTTGAGAAAAGAACAACGAATGAGTTTTTTGAAATATTACATGCACTGTATCACATATCTTGTTTGGAATAAAGCGATTATTATTATCATGATCGATATACTAAAGTACCAAGTGTAAGTTACCGAAAAATAAATGATTCATATTTCAACTCTGAATGTGACTTGGAAAGTAGTGACTAAGATGTGTAATTATATAGTAGTGATGCATAGTGAATAGCAGTGAAATCCAGGATGTATATCTAGTCCTATTTAACACTGATCAGCAGGATGTACATGCCTCACAGCGAGGGTTGTTATTCCCACTAAGACTGGAACCCATATCACAATAGTGGTCAATTAATTCGCTTCGATCAACGATATAAAAACTATACCCGCCGCACAAGCAGTGGGAATCTTGACTCGGTGACCTGGTAGGTATCGCCTTGGCATTTGAAGCGATCAATCCCGTGTTCCAGTCTTATTAGGAACAACATCATTCATTGGAAGACAGGTACATCCAGTTGACAAGTCCCAAGTACGACAAAAAACAAGCACCCTGGATTCCACTGCCAGCTACTATCCGTCAGTACTGTAAAATTGAAACCACTAGTAATACCGAGGCATCCACGCAGAAGCGCATTTGCAAACAGAGACCGATTGATTGGGTCCAATCAACGATACGATAATACATGCAACAATATAGGCAGTGTAATGCAACTACTACTCAACCAGTGGATAAATGTCAGGAAGCAGTCAGTAAGAAGCATTAGGCCTGAATTTATTCTCCTGTTTCCCACTAATCACCAACATATGAGTAGCTTAATCAAAACATTATTACCTTTCGTACTGTACGATGCAAGTTGGTTCCCTGGAAATGGCAAATATGAGTTATTGGTCAGTATCAACGAAACAAAAGGCTATACTTCCGTTTTCCTATTAATTACCTGAGAAAATATGACAAATCACAGTGCTAAACATATTATCACCTCAATATGGCAAACTAACTACAATCTGTTTCTCTTTTCGCCTTTATATACACAAGCATATTTATCGTACGATAGATTTTGCTGCATTGAGTTCAGATGAGTAGCGTTATAGATTCATGACTTCTTCTTTTTACCGAAATCAAGTGTTTGGAATATCAAATAACTATTATGAAAACATAGAATGATGACTGAAGGGGAGATGAAAACCTGGTTCCAACTCTACCGCAATCCATGTTCTCCTTCCATCTGGAATCATCGCGAATTGAAGTTTACCATATCAAGGCTTCGATACTCTTATGAAAATCATAAAGATGTTTGCTTCCGTGTATGACAAGCATTCTCCACAAGATGTTCAAATATCTTCAGATTTCAAACATTCAACTATAGCTACATTTTCATGATATCTTCCATGATAAATAACAACGAAAGGGAAAGAAAATAATTAGGATGTCCTGAATTTAGATGATGAGTTCAAATTCCATTTTCTCAAATTACTTTAACCAAATCTCACCATCTCGTAATCAACAGTAACAAAATTGTTTGAACCCTAGTTGCATCTTCAAGTAAATACAATTTTAACTACCGTATCCCTCACACTTGTAAACAGAAATCGGTTAGCGGAGAAAATCTTCCATTAGTTACTCTGTAGTACCAAGCACCAAGTGGAAGTTGTATACATATTAGAAGGTTATTAATTCCTGGTTAATTGTTGGAGAAGCATAGATTAAGCTACATTGCACAGTCTACATAATGCAGTGGTAAAACTTGAATATTCTACCAGTCATACTTAATAAATAGGTAGATAATGTCAGTTTGAATGGACAGTGAGTGAGTAATGAGATTGAATAGTGAATATATAGCCTGAACTGAATGGTATGGATAGCGTAAGGAGGTTAAGTTAAGGACAAAGTATCTGTCACAGGTGAATTTAGATGAACATGGTAATAAATATGCCTAAGAATTATCTACAGAATTACGAGTATTCATAAGATATTTGATCATCAAGCATTCATGAATTTGTCAGCACAATGCTACATACTTAGGATTAGCCGGTACTTTGTTCACAGCAAAATAACTGTCATCTTCGCTAAAAAATGGATTCACATCTCCACACAGTCGTCTTGGTCCAACCGTTCCTCGATGTAAATAGGAAACGGATATTTTACACAAATACCTATCAGTGTTTATAATTTACCATGTCTCGATATAACCTTCATAAATATAAGTAAGAAAGAACGAAAACCCTCAAAAGAAGTTACACAAACTTTATTTTAAATAGCTCCTGCAACATTTCCACAGTCGATGAGCCCACCCCAAACGGTACGGGAACTGGTTAGGACTATGAATAGTTCAGAACATCTCATGATTGAGAAATTGATGTACGCTAAAGTCTGAAGAAGTTCTTGGCACTATTATTATATGTCCCTTGAGTTCCTAGTGGAATATATAGCTTCAGTAACACATCTCCATTTCACTCGCTTCCCTGAAGTCTTTTCAACCTGGATCCACGACCAACCACAAGCTTCCATTTCCTTCTCACACCATCTCCTCCATGTCACCCTTGCACCAGACGCCCCACTCGTCGTTTCCCATGCGCGTTCCACTCCACGGCCTGGCACGTGATATCCTCAAACCGTCTTCTCAATGTATGCCCAATCCATCTCCACATCCTTCTGCTTATTTCTTAGGCGATCGGTTCTTGGTTCCTTCGTTGCAAGCCAGAGTGAGTTTCTCGTTGCTTATTCTCTCTCTCGCCATTTATCTGATCTTCAGTAGCGAGTGAGTGTAGGCACCAGCTGTTCATGAATGTCTGTAGTTTGTTGCAAACGCTTTTCTTAACACGCCAACTCTCTCAAACATCAAATAGAAGCACTGACTTGACTGAATTAGTGTTGAAAATCCGGATCTTGATCTTTACGCTGAGTGGAGTGCAGTAGATCTCCACACTGGTTTCAGGTTGATGAACGCCTGTCTTGCTTCTCCCATCTTCGCCGCTTTGACGTCCTCGTCTGTGCCGCCACCGCCGCCTTTAGTTGAGACGATGTTGCCCCGCCTAGGTAGGTGAAACAAACAGCTTCCTTTAGATTTCTCCCTTCATGCTGATTGATGCTTGTTGTTGTTTGTTGGGTATCTTCATCACCTCCGTCTTCTCTACGTTCACCTAAAGTCCTGCCTTCGTTGCCCTTCCCCTACTGTCAACTTGTTACTTTCCATCTGTAAATCTCCGAGTTAGCACGACAAGACATTTGACATAAATCGTCACCATCAGCGAAATCAAAATCTTCTTGGATCTTTTCATCGGTCAAACAACGTATATCCCTCTTCTCACTGCTCACACTTGTCTGTTGCATGACCCAATCCAGTCCACCACAATCAACAAGATCATGGGTGATAGTAGGTGGCAACCTCATCTTACTCCTTCCTGTCTTCACTTCAAACGCATCACGGAGCTTTCCACTGTGAATCATTTGGCATATACCATATATCATATAGCGTACAGCTGTTGAATGAAGTTCCTAAAGGTTTGTGGCATTAAAAGCGTAGTGTTGAAGCAGCTAGCTGCCTGCCAAATTACTTCTCAGTCGACGCTGCCAAAGGCCTCAACAAAATTGATGAATTTCAGGTAGAGAGTTGACTACCATTCCATGCTCTGTTCTATGATGATGCATAGCGTGGCGTTGCCTTGCAATTCGGTCCGCACATGATTTGTTCTTCGTGGAGCCAGCCAGACAACCTGTTCCGCTCGCAATTTTGAATCCACAGCATTTTCTGTTTAGTCTCTCCAAGATGGTGCAGCTCAATATTTTGCTTGGGGTGCACACAGACAGCAGCATGATTCGGCACCAGTTATTGCAAAGACGTAGGTCTTCCTTCTTTGGGAGCTTAACAAGGTAGACCTTCTTCCACTCGACAGGTACCCTTCTTTACTTCCAAACCTTCTGGAGTAGTGGTGTGAGCATATCCACTGCTGTCTCTGTGTCTGTTCTCAGTGCTTCTGGTGGAATTCATTCTGGTCCTGCCACTTCCCTGGATTTCTGCAACTTTATGGCGTTCAGGAATTCACTTCGGCTTTTGTTGGAGGGCTTGTGGATGGGCTGTTTCTGGTATTTCTGGACGCGTTGCAGGTGGTTGTGTTGGTGGTCAATTCAAGAGCTTTTTGAAGTGGTCAACCCATTGTTTCCTTTGTTTCTCCTTCTCATTGGTGACCAAGTTCCGTTCACTACCTTACATTAGTCGTATCTGAGTTGACCTCTTCCCTTCCAGATAGTAACCTGCTAATTTGATATAATGTCAGCCGAATCTGCTGGCAGTTTTCTTAAGTAGTCGTTAATTCCAGTTCCTTGAACTGCGTTGAGATGATCTTATACAATGATTTATAATGAGAAACTATACAGCAGTGAAAATCCATGAGGTAGTGGTCAGAATTCGATAACGCCATCTATAAGAGAACTTATTGTCAGTTTCTTCTTTCAGAGGCTACAGGAACTCTTTTATATATGCCCTCGTTTTATAATTCTGCCTAGTGTTATGAATTAAGTGCACTATCTTATCAGTAAGTCATGTTGTACGTCATTTAGACGTGATCCGTATTGTACTACAGAAGATACTATATTAATCAAGTATAAAACATTATCATATGTCGGGAATTTGTAAAAAATTACTCGATCAACTTGTTCATGCATTGATGTTTTACTTGTTAGTAAACCTGAAGCCAGAGATTCATTTTCATGCTCTAACCGAGTAATTTTTTGTCGTAATGAGGCCAACTGACATTCCATAGCATGAATGGGAGATTCTGTTAATTTTTCTTCAGCTCTTTTTGATATCCATTCCTTAGCATATTTTTTTAATTTGGATGAGGTAACCTAGAATAAAATAGAGAAGAATACATGTAAGTTACAGGTTACATCATGGTTGTGGTTATTTTTGTAAACTCCATTTTAGTCGATTTATCAGATGTTTTACACACTGAAACAGTATTATTTACTGGATAGCATTTCGGATATAATCTACTGTTCATAGTCATACCCAGATAACTCCACAACTTTGAAACTTGGTTTATGTAGCTCTAATTCTCTCTCCTTTTTTGTGATATAGTCAGGAAAACTCTCCATAAGTCTGGAACAGATGCTGCGTGTATTTAGCATTGTTTCGATAAACAAGGATTCGGTTACCAATCTCTGTCTTCACCCACGTAAGGTAGTTTTAAGGACCATCATTCTATCCCAGCTTATTGTAGGGTCTTCCAATCTTGATTAAAGCTAGAATTTTGTGTTTCAAGAATTAAAACAACCTAAGCCGCAACTCAAAGTTGTGGAGTTGCTTTGACATGACTACTGTTAATATATTGTATCCGAAACGTATTCGAGTGAAAGGTACCGTTTAATTGAATGGTATGTAAGTGGACTGAAATGGAGTTATATTCTACCACAGTGCTCAAGCCTGACAGTTACATTTTGTAGGCTCTCACATCAACCTCAAAAGTACCGTATGAAACGTTTTGAACCTCCAAGAAAACTGGAATAAATGTAGCCAGCGGGAATGGAACCCAATCGTGCTCGCCGAAAATGAGAAATGCCTCTGTAAATATGGATAGCAATCAGGAGAAAATAGTTGAATGAAGCACAGGAAAGAAAAACCCTATTTTTCTACAACTTGATTTAAAAAGGGGGTGAAACTGTTGTAATAATCATGAGTATACTGAATGCTACATTGAAACCGATTTGTTCATATCACGAAAACTGTTCGTTTTGGTAATCGAAGTGAATAATCTCTCATCTTAAGTTACCACTAACTGGGCTTACAAATTTATATGCGCTTGCCAAAGCACATACACCGCACAAACGGAAATAAGATTTCTTGTCCGAATTTCTGAGTATATCTCCGGGAAATTGAAGATGAAGAGCCTACAAGCACTCAACAGTGCGACTTATTATCATCTGCTGAAAACGGAATGCAATGTAGACAGTCTCGGATCATTAAATTAATCAATAAACAGAAAAGGCAAAACGTATTACGATTTACTGAAGACAGCGTCATTACAAATCCTAAATTTATGTATTCGAATAAATACTATTGTCAATTTTGTACTGACTTGGTGAGTAAAGTTTACCAAAAATATATCCAAAAATTTGATGACAGCATTTTTACATTTCCTAGTCGGAATGACTCCTTTGTTATCTGAATATTGTTTATCTCACTCTACCAACTATTGCAAATGATTAACCCTGAAGGTCATCTAAACAACTACTGAAGCAACCAATTGGGTTCCTTTATTTCAGTTGCAAAGGTAAGTGTTGCATAAAATAACGCCAGCGAATTGGTTATTTTAGTAGTTGTTAGGGAGACATTAGGAGCCAATGGTGAACAAATTTGTCGACTTCTTACAGATGCGTAATCTATGGTTTTTATTGTTTCATTTCTCATAAGTTGTCGTTTCCCATCACTTCTTAATTTCTTCTAAAAATATTCATCTGGTCAGATTATAAACATCCAGACAATAGTTTTTACGAATATCCTGGAAGAAGCTGAGCGCCAAGTTAGGTTTAATCATAAAAAAATATTTGAATATAATCCCAGAAAATCAAAACAAGAAATTTCTGAATATTCTGCTGCGTAAGCCACGGCTTCTTCAGCCACACAGTGGAGAATTTGATTGATTGATTTACTCTATTCTGAATCTGTATTACCCCCCCCCATCCCACCCCTGTTACCGTTAATAATATCCCGTCAACTTGATAAAACAATGTGGATTCTGTAATCCATACATATTGATGTGTTTTGGGATGTAAGCAATTAAGGCGAATATACGAAATAACAATGAGCTTGTGTTGTTGTGCTCCGATTATCGTTCACGTTCTATTCAAGTACATAAATGGGATGAAAAATGTCAGAGTAGTTCAATCCATGGTGAAAACATTCAACAACGTTCAGAGAGTACATATATTAGCGAAATATATTTCCATATAAGCTTAAAATGTACTTTACCTAATATATAATTATAAAACAATGTACCGCTTTCGTTTGTTTATTGCATTAAGTTAAACAAAATGTGAAAAAAGGCATTGAAATATTTGACCTTATAAAGCAGTGATCACCAATAGTCTAATCAATAACGATAACAATTTTTCATATAATAAACATTTAGTTCAACTAAATATCCACCTGTTATTTTTACACAATTTTTTCTCACATACTGTCTTCAATTCCTTAGACAGGACTGAATGGCAGATTTGTCAGCTAGAGTGAATAATCAACATCTTGGTAGTCCTATATAAAAATACTTCAGGTAAAGTGAGGAAATACAATTGTCTCTTTGAATTGTTGTGAAAAACTGGAATGATGATAATGGGTTGATGATATTCTTGAAACAGTTATGATGTGTAGTAATGGTGTGAATTGGCATCAGGAAAAAAGACTTCAGGACTTCGAATAGCTACTGATATTGTTTTCCCGTCTGGAATATACGCTAGTCACATTTTTGATTTATCAGGTGGTGGTCGGTATCTGTAATTATGATATGTACGTTTCACCACAGGAGTAAAAACTATTTTTACCAGTTTTCAAGAATTTACCTGTTCCTGAAATCACCTGTAATGGCGAACTGTTAAAAAGAATTAAAAATTTAGTGAGTAATAGTGAAAGTACGACTCATCAAATCAATCTGCAGACAGCGAAGGTGAGAACGGTATACGTAAATCTGGATTACCTTTGATACCTTCCTGAGGTTGATTGAGCTTTGGACCTTCGCGTGTACAGCACTTCCATGCAGAAAGCTCTGCTATCGGTTGGTGATAAACTAGACTCTTCAAACTGAAGATCTTCGATCACTGCTAACAATATAGGATTTCTCACATCTGGTAGCAATAATATGTAGTTAATTCTAAAATCTAGTGGTGTTTGAGCACCTTGGATGTCGTTATTGTATCGACGAAACCACATTAGAACACAAATTTAGGTGGTTAGGTATTGTTCTATCCCAATGGCCTTTATGCCTGTAGTGGATACTACAACCACATACATTTACCATCACAATCACTTTATGAATAACCGTTTAAACCAAAGAATAAACCATAAAATCCACTGATATGAAACACATAGGTTGCAGAATCGTCGAACAGTTGTGATTTCATTGCTGCAGACATTTCACAGCTTAATACTAAGCTCCAAATTGATATCCATTCCACTTCCATTTGGAAACTAGGTAGGATCCCTAGATTTCATACACCGAAAGCGTAATACCCTAATGAGCCTATTGAGCGACATAAGGTTGGTAAATCAATCTTAAACATTGTCCATTTCTTCGAAAATTTTTTTAATGAAATTACACAGAGCGATTTTTTCCTTGGTCAAGTCAGTACATGTGAATAAAAGGGAATGTAACTCACTTTTGCCAGAATTGCTGTCCTGAGTAGTTCTTCATTAGCGTCACCGGCTAAATATTTTTTAGGCATTGCAACTCGAAGGTATTTAAGGACACCTTCAAAATCTAGGCCAAGTAGATCTCGTCTGGCCGACTGTAAAAGTGCTAAGCACACCTTGAATATGAAGATCAAACCCTAATGTATAAGAAAAACAAAAATCTATACAACATTTGGTAACTTAGCGACAATGAACAAAAAGGAGAGTGAATCTGATAAAAGAAAGAATGCATCACCAGGAAATGTAGACTAGATATGTAAGTATATCAGTTATGAGCGGATAAAATAAAAGGTGAATGAATTTCAATAATGGCTCCCTTGAAAGTGAAAATATGAGTTTTCAGCTCCTCTCCCAATTTTTACTCATATGAAAGTTTACAAAACAGGAATCTCTGCAAAAGACTTTGGTACAACAGTAGTCTTCTTTAGAGAGATGTATTACGTATAACATTGGTTTAGTATTTGGTGTGGAAGTGTAGGTAACTTCACAAGTTGACAAGCAAACAATTCATAATCAAATCACTACTCAGGAGGATTAGTGAGGAGGAGAGCCAAAATATATGCTTCGTAAAATTGATCAGCCAGTGATATCTGGGACATTCAGGAAATTTGTTTTTTTCGGGGAACTTAAATGCATGTGTCATTCAGCTATGCATAAACCGCAGGAAATTCATCAAATAGGATGTATATTGATTTGAAGTTGTCTTGGTGTTCGTACTGTAAGCTCTATAGGCAGAATTCCGTTAGTGTTAAGGATTAAAGACAGTTATATGGGCTACTACCCAGAGAACAATTGGTGAAAACAACACTATCACCTATTGTAAGTACAGAATTTGAGCTTTGTGGCAAAGGTTAATTCCATACTGGATTAGTCTTTTTGATATACAACAGAATGGTGCAGTATTATTATGTATTTCTGCAAACGCATTTCGACATGTAAAAATCAAGAAAAAAATCCTCATTACTAGCATACTGAATAAATGACTTTGTGCATTAACATAAGTCCAAAGCTACTCACTGAGAATTTGGACTCTTCTAACAAATTCTTGGTATGTTGATAATGAATAACCATATAATAGCCATTTGCTTTTTGACTTTGACAAAGAGCAGTGGTCAGGTATAATGTTCACAGGTGTGATGAGTAATAAAGTTATAAAAACAATCGTATACCGTTTATCCTGCAATAAAACTCAGTTACGAAGTTAGTCTAATCATGTAGCGTCTACAAATTTCACTATTTCATCACCAACTATTCATACATAAATCGAAGCCAATGGTTTGATCAACTCAGTTGATCAAATGAATGTTCTCACTATAGACTACTAATGGTTCAACAACCAAAAAGAAATATGGACAACATGAAATCCGTTTATGTAGATTCAGGACTGCTTAGCAGTTTAATGACTCAATGGTGTTAAAAGACGTCGACTTTGTTTTGATCAAACCACTAGATTGGTACCAAAATGATCAACATAACATGAAAGATCAGATAATATTGTGATCCAGCGTAACAACAATCCAAGTGCACACTGTTACTAGCCATCATCACTGCGACCATCGCTAGCTTTAGAGTCATAAACCCGCACTAAAGGGGAAAAAAAAATCCCCATAATCTAACCGAATCACAAATCAGAGACAGATTTTATTCAAACGAAGTGGTCTTAGTGCAGATATATTATATTTCAATTTGGGATCAGATCAATAATTTAAAATGAATAATCACATGGTTTTTAAAATCCCACGTCATACTTTCTTATCCACCAATGGCTGACTGTGATGAGCACCACCCATCATGGTTGAACAAGGGACAAATTAGAACTATAAAGAGCTCCATACTTGCACACTCAGTTGACACAGGACATCAAGTGGTTACTGGAAAAGCCTTTAAAATTATCCATCAGATTCCAATTAATTTACCTCATGGATTGCACACTCATTTGCTTCACATAGCAGAGGTGATTGCAGTCCACCTTTACAAACCTACCCTTTGTATCCAAAAGAAGTTTGTTCAACCACTTTCATTACCGTGGCCGTCAACATGATGTAACTTCTAGGCTTATTTTGTGCACCTCTTCCCCTTCTTGTTTCTATTAATATTCATATTTCCTATTTTAGTAACTCCATTGATTATTTATATCATTATTTCCGAAACACCAAGTGATTGGTAATTTGATTAAATTGTAAACCTATATATTTGTGTAGAGCCAAAAATGAAGACCTAATTAAAAAGAAATATATTTCTTCGCTCAATCAGTCTTTTTCTAAACAAAAGATGTTTAGAATCCCTTAGTTAGAAGAACAATGAACATCAGCAGTCAATAAATCGATAGTAAAGGTCGGCAATTGTACAATGTTAAATAAAATTTCATTAAGAGGGTAAATGTACACAGTATTCTAAGATAAAATACGCGCTCACGACAAGCCAATGAAGTGGTATTTATATCATCCAAAAAATATATAATCCATTCATCAAATCAATTTTAAGCTTCCTGACAAAAACCTGAATTCTACACGTTCAATGTTAATTTCCCGAAATTATTAGCACTAAAACCAGATGCAACCTATTTAAAATCATAACTAATTAGTATCTAAAATGTTAACAATTCATGCTTTATTTGAAGTCAGACTATTGTGTAAGGTCACTGATAATAAGAAATTAACCAATTAAAACATGTAAAAATCAAGAAAGCATCCAATATTAAAGATTAGTATACTTACCTCAGTTAAAAATAAATCTACAATATGAAAGACAACGTTCAAAGGGAATTTCGCTGTGAATAGAGTTAAAAACCATTGACTAGCGAACATGTGGGTCTCCAAGCCAAGATCAGCGAAATGTTTTGAAACATCTGGTAATTGGTCCTGAAACAGGATAAAAAAGTAAACTTTTAAGGAAGAAGGAAGCAGAAAGAAAAAGTCAAAGTCAAAAACGTTATGAAATACTAAAGTAACAAACGGTTGCATATACAATACTGATAACATAAATAACTGTGAAAATGTGTCGACAAATCAAGAAGCAACTAGCTGTTTCATAACAGTTACTGGAAATTTCTCACTAATATTCAGAAGAAATACCCCTTAGAATAAGGAAGCATTAGGAGGATTTCTAGTTTCGTAAATTCCACTAACTTTTCATGGCTGAATATTTCACGGCTACAAAGTTTAAAAATTGACTAATGAAAAACTACAGCTAAACCAAATATATTTCACAGACAGATATACTCGATTCAAGCAAGATGACAGAGGCTTACTTCATGATATGTAGTGTGGTGTTATCAGTAACTTAGTATACTTCCTAAAACTCTTCATTATAGAAAGTGCTGAGAAATAACCTTGTGCACTGAATCGTCTAGCCACTGCTAAAATATACTGTGGCTCAATGGTAACGTGCTAGTCGCGGAACCTGAAGGTTCTAGGTCGCATCCCTGGCCAGGTCATGGGTGTACAATGCTGAAGAGTACCATAATAGGAAGAAATAGCTGTTTGCTCCCCAGGGTTTTCTACGTTTCGTCAACTAACATCAGTTGGTGATGAATAGCAACCTGAAAATAATAAATCCCAGTAAACCTTTAAATTGAACCACTGTTCAATGCTCATTCATGACATGTTTCGAGATGAGAAGTCATAACCGATGGGACAAATCAAGTAGACTGTGAGCGGAAATGCTGGTCAATGACGCTAGATAATGGTCACCCTATATCTCGAGCTGACAGAAGTAGGATGACAATCAAGTGGCTGGGTGATCATTCGAAAGATTATTACACCCTGAAACAAATTGTAATCAAATAAAGTATAGGTGTTTATTTTATCCACAAAAGTAACTTAGACACCTAGTTAACAACAGAAGAATTCTCTAACCAGATTTTATAGTATCACTTTAAAAATTTCCAAAGTTAAATACGCTCCACACACCAAACCGCAAAAATTGCAATATTTGAAAGTGTTCTTTTCTCTGACCTGGGTATTGAGATGTTCTTGAGGTATTAACGCAAAAATACACTACGTGTTCTTTAAAATTCTCTCACGTTTACATAAAATTTTCTCCAAATATCACCAGCATATAAAATCCCACTGAACATGTAAAGATTTATAACATGACTGATTGATTGATTGACTAAATCAACGTAGAACCTCACACACAAACGCATCGGTTCACACTTCACAGTAGTACACAAAGAACAGGTGGAAAGAAAAAGTGATATCAAAGTAGACAAAGTTGTGTGAGAGAATAAACAATTTGAAGATTAAGATCAGTGCGAATATTTAAGCTTAAGTTGTCAAGGCGTGTATACATCTGGGCTATTGTGGCTTATTTTCAGTTTTGTCGCCAAGAGTCCTCAATCACTGGTTCCCATCGTCTCGGGGATCCCAGCAAGGCAGTCTACATTTCCCCACATGTCTCAGACAAACAGTAAGAGACTTCATCGACTGGTGCCACGTCTTTGTTTGACCACTCTAAAACCTGTTCCAACCTAATTCAAGTTCTTCCAGTATGGTACTTTTCGGTAGGCAGTGGCTTGGCATGTGCAACACATGTCCAAGCCATCTCAGTTGACTAAAGTTCATAACCTCATTGATTGGCTTGCCTAGTACCCTTTGCGTGACCTCAACGTTGTTCTGATGGATTAGACCGTAAATACCTACAAATTCTTAAGGAATAAATTAATATTTAAAAGGCACCTGGTTAACTTGGGGTACGGAGAGGACATAGTCATTTTAGGTGATGTGACAAAAATAAAGACTTCTGAACACCCTGAGTAGAAATTTAAGTACATTTAGCATAGATCTCGCACCTGCGATATACAAAGCAATGATTCAGTACTGACCTACAAATACTGGTAGTTTAAGAATAGATAGTGAAATTTTGCAATAAGTTGACTGCTACTGGATAGTGAAAAGACTATGTGAGGAATGTAGAGGTTAAACGATGTAGGGTATGCAGAAAGGAAGACAAGTTAAGGCCATGGATTCTGAGCTCCATTCTCCCCACCATCTTAATCCGCAACTAAGTTTGAAGAAGGTTAGGGGTGAAGAAACAGAACGTGAAAACAATCTACGAAGTTTTTTGATGTTGTCTTGAATAGTGCGTGAAAATGCAGGGTGTCTGCTTAAGGTCCTTAAGATGTCAGTGTCAACGATTAGAGGTTTTGTAACTTATCAATAGAAAATGTATTACCTGGGTAAGACGATCCAGTTGATACAGTCGCATGTGTAGACCGTCAAAATCATTCAGAAAAAATTCCCTAACGCCATAATTATTGTTTACTTGTACTAACAGTGTGAATGCTTGTTCTACAGGCATCTAAAAAAGGAAAATATTATGGTGAATAACACTATGATGTTACGTAAAAAGAATTAAAGTTTACCACGTCTACCTAGTCACTCATAGAAAATCTTTATGCAGTAGACACCACACACACACATACACGCTCTTTAGTTAGGAAGACAAGGGATTTCTTTAACATAGTATAAAACGACTTTGAGAAATTCCTTACATAACTAAAAGTCTCACTATTCTTGAAAAATTTCTGTTATCCATGAGGTAACTAGTAATTAAGATACATGAGTTAGAAATATCAGAAAAAAATTTCCATAAAGCATTACAGTTATTAACAGTCTTCCTTAACTGCAGATCTATACAATCGAAATGGTCAAACAAACGAACATTCTCAAATGATAAATCTCCAGCTTGAACACTGGGTAGTATTCAGAAGTAGAAGTTACAGATATCAGTGACAGAAAAATAATTTTACATGAATGTTTAAGTAAGTTTTTCATCGCCAAGTGTAGCAACAATAAATTATTTCAGAAAACTTGCACATACGATTTATATCTGGTATAATTTAAATTGATGTACTACAGACATAAACTGGTAGTGAAACCTTTTAAGTGAATCACACACTAAAATAAATAGGAACATATTATTTTCTTTATCGGAGATGAGTAGTGAAGTTGAAAATTGTACGAGTGTATCAACAAAGTATTACAGTAAAAATTTAATAAACCAAGAATATTTCGAAAGTATTATTAAATTTCTGTGCTTAGAATACAGGATAGAAACATTTAACTCTCAAAACGAAAAGTTTTAGTTACATTAACATACTAGTAACGTGACATCAATAGTCAATTAGTTATAACACGGATTTGTTGTCAGTATATACGAATAATACGTTTATGTATTCAACATATATGAATGACTCTTTACATTGATTGGTCACTGAAGAGTAATCAATTTCCTGTTGTCCAGCCCCAAGTGCTCATCGAATTCCATCGATCATATTGCAATGTGGTCAACAAGCTAAGAAATTTACTATCACCATGCACTTAGACAACCTCGCCAGGTTAACTAGTTCACTAGTTACTAGCCGGTCCTAAGCCTGGATAAAAAGGGAAGGCTGGGCGTAAGGCTAGCAACCCTACCCTGTAAAAGCAATCCTATCGCTACAGAAACTTCAAAGCACAGACAAAATATAAAAAATAAAAGCAAAATTATTCCTTGCTGGAATCGGAGAGACGAAATGACGCCAGTTGGTGTAAGCCTTCGGGAAGCAAATTAGCCGGGCCGATGTGTCTTCGCTTCTCTCCATGAAAGCGAAGGTAAACATGGGGACATGGAATGTCCACACCATATTTGAACCTATCAAGGCTGCCCAGGTTGCAAAGGAAATGAGAAGGTATAGCAATGAAGTGGTTGGAATCTGCAAAAGCAGATGGAATGGAAGTGGACTCCAAACTGTCAACTGTAGAGTCAATAATCCACTCGGCTATTGTCACCCAGACAACACGACAACCACGAGCACACTGAGTTTTTGAATGGCTATCATGATTTCCCCAACAGCATCGAAGGCTCTCATACAGTGGGAACCAATCTCCTCAAGGATCATAACAGCCAGATTCAAGTCAAAAGGAAGGAAAGTCACAACCATTCAATGCTACGCTACGCACCTACAAATAATGCAGATGAAAAGAAGAAGGAGGGAAATCTATAGACAACTGCCATCAACACTAGACAAGACCCCACCCCAGTTGGCGACATCAAACCCTAATGGGTGACATTAATGTCAAACTGGGAGCGGAAACCACAAGAAGAGAATTCATCATGAGTCAGGAAGCGCTTGGTGAAATGAACGCGAATGGAGAACTGTTTGCAGACTTTGTGCATTCAATGACTTGGTGAGTGGAGGCATTGTGTTCAAGCACTAGGATATTCACAAAGCAACTGAATTTCATCAGACACCAGGACACACTAAAAATCAGATCGACTTGATCTCAATCTCAAGAATGTGGAGACGCAGCCTACTGGACATAAGATCAAGAAGAGTAACAGATGTAGGCTCAGACCACTATCTAGTGCAAAGAACCTTCCAAAACAAGTTGAAAACCTTAAAGGAAGTTGGTGAAAGACTGCAGTTCAAGTTCAACACTCAGAGACTGAAGGAAAAACTACAAAAGACATCTTCATGGCAGCCATCAAGACAAAATGGGAGATATAGAGCAACATCCCTGAAGAAACTTGTGTGGATGAACACTGGAACTCTTTGAAAGGAAACCCATGACAATGAGTGGAATGGATCTCGACGGACACATGGAAGTTGATAGAGGAGAGGAGAGGAAGATGGTGATGGTGAAGCAGAAGATGAACCAGTGCAGTGAAAGGATGAACAACGACAAGAGGAACTGAGCATAATGTATAAAACACTGGACAAAGAAGTGAAGAAGAGTGTGAACAAAGACAAAAGACACTTCTACAACATATAGGCAAGTGAAGCAGAACAGGCAGTGGGCCAACAGGAGAGACCTGACAACATTATATCAAACAATCAGGTTACTATCTGGGAAGAGATCAACACACATGAAACCAATAAAAGATGATGAAGGAAATTTAATTACGAAAGAAGAGAAACAAAGGAAACGATAAGCTGACTACTTCAAAAAGCTCTTGAATCGACCACCACCTGCACTTCGTCCAGAAATACCACCAGCAGCCACAAAACTACAAGTGAACACAAATCCTCCAACAAACGTCGAGGTTCTGAGAATCATAAAGCTACTGAAATGCGGGAATGCAGTAGGACCAGGTGGAATTCCGCCAGAAGCACTGAGAACAGATGCAGAAACAGCAGCGGAAATTGCTCATATCACTATTGCAGAAGGTCTGGAAGGAAGGAAAGGTACCTGCCGATTGATTGGAAGAAGGACTACCTCGTCAAACTTCCGAAGAAAAGTGACCTAAGTCTTTGCAAGAACTGGCGCAGACTCATGTCCCAGTCCACCCCAAACAAAATATTATGCTGCGTCATCCTGGAGAGACTAAAAGATGCGTTGGATTCACAACTATCACCAGAACAGGTTGGCTGGATTCAAGAAGTACAAATCATGTGCGGACCGAATTGCAACGCTTCGCATCATCATAGAACAGAGTATAGAATGGCAGTCAACTCTACACCTCAACTTTATTGACTCTGAAAAGGCCTTCGACAGAGTCGACTGAGAAGTAATTTGGAAACTGCTTCAACACTAAGGAATACCATAAACCTTTATCAAACTCATTCAACAACTATATGAAGACGCCGCATGCCAAGTAACTGACAATGGAAAGCTCCGTGATGCGTTTGAAGTGAAGACAGGAAGGAGTAAGATGAGGTTGCCACCTACTATCACCCATGACCTTCTTGATTGTGGTGGACTGGATTGGGTCATGCAACAGACAAGTGTGAGCAGTGAGAAGAGGGATATACGTTGTTTGACCGATGAAAAGATCCTAGAAGATTTGGATTTCACCAATCACTTGTGTCTAATTTTGCGCAAACTCGAAGATCTACAGGCAGACACTAACAAGTTGACAGAAGAGGCAGTGAAGACGGGATTTCCTCTCAGGTGAATGTAGAGAAGACGGAGGTGATGATGATACCCAACCGACGCCACGACAACCAACAACACCAAGCTCTAATCACCATCAACGGGAGGAACTAAAAGAAAGTAACCTATTTCACCTATCTACGCAGCATCATTTCAACTACAGGTGGCCGTGGCGCCACAGACGAGGACGTCAAAGCGGCGAAGATGGGAGAAGCAAGACAGGCGTTCATCAACCTGAAACCAGTGTGGAGATCTACTGCACTCCACTCAGCGTAAAGATCAAGATCTGGATTTTCAACACTAATTCAGTCAAGTCAGTGCTTCTATTTGATGTTGAGAGAGTTGGCGCGTTAAGAAAAGCATTTCCAAAAAGACTACAGATATTCATCAACAACTGCCTACGCTCGCTACTGAAGAACAAATGGATTGCCAGAAAGAATGAGAAACAAGAGACCCTGGTTTGGCAACGAACCAGCCAACAACCTACCGCTCAACAAATATGCAGAAAGAAATGGAGATGGATTGGGCATACACTGAGAAGACCATTCAGTGACATCACGCACCAGGCCATCGAGTGGAACCCAGATAGGAAATGGCGAGTTAGGCGTCCGAGGGTGATATGGAGGCGATCTTGTGAGGATGAAATGAGAGCTTGTGGGCTGTCGTGGAGCCAGGTTCAAAAGATTTTAGAGAACAGAGTTCACTGGAGACGTGCTACTGAAGCCCCGTGTTCCACTAGGAACCCAAGGGATAAATACTACTACTACTACTACTACTACTACTACTAATAATAATAATAATAATAATAATAATAATGATAATAATAATAATAATGCACTTAGACGGATGTTTGCTGATTGTAATGAATCGGTAGGAAGCCACTTCAACAATCTCAAGGGAACTAATGTCTCCTATGAGATTTAAACTGGTATCAACCAGTTCTGTATTCAGAGACTGAGCTATTCGAGCCATGACTGCCTTCCTACAGGACTAGATAAATGAAACTGATAGGTCACTGGACCTCTTATCGACTGCCCTCATTCAACCAAATGACATGGAAATCCCTTCGTACATTTACAGATTCCAGCCGACTAGCAACTGAGATCCTGCAACACCTTAACCTAACCGGGACGACATTTTAAATCTGATTTGTTAAACATATGAACATCTAATCATGTTCAACAATACAATGAAGTACAAAATATTAGTGGCTTCTTTTGTAATGGAAGTAGGTATTAAAGTGTAGAGACTGAAGAATGTCCTCAACTACTCTCACTACTAATTACTTCCAGAAAACAAATACTGAAGAAAGTAATCGAAATTAAAAATAACTGACGTATATCTATGCAATGTTTGAATAAAGGATCTATAAGGTTTCTGTTTTTGGTAGGGATGCATATATCCCCTGTTTAAACTTTTAGAACTTTTTTTCTCATGTTTTTGTACCCAAAAATGGATCACATTTCATATAACCCACTATTGTTCTTATTGACTGCTATCTCATTAAATGGGCTAATTATCCTGCGTTTTTAAAGATCATTGTAACCTGCATATACAGTATCGACTTTACTAATATAAGTTTTCATTTCGAAATATTATAAACTCAATTCGATAACAGTCTTTTGATTTCCTGTGAATCACTCAGCTTGAATCATTTCAACTTTCAGGCTCTCAATCTTTACTTATTATCGTGTGTTTCAAAACTTCTACTCGTAACAGTTTTCATTATAGTTAAGTAGATAAATAAAGAGATGAAATTTAGTTTATTTCAGTGCAGTATGTACACTATCAAACAGTACTTTCAAAAAGTTTCTACATTTCAGAAAAGAAAAGAAAACTAATCATGATTATGGAACAACTAAAAATTAGTCAAGCTCAAAAGGCATTAGGAAGTTAACTTCTTAGTTATGCAATAAGATGAAAGTAATTTTTGTCTTTTGGTGCTCGACATGAATCATCAGTAGCTAATTCATTCATTTTATATAAACAATATGATTGCTATGGTACATAATAATACGTGAACATCAGTTGCGATAAATATTTAATGCAGACCTGAAATATGTAACAGAATTGATGTATTCGCCTTTGCTTGTTATACACTACAAAAAAGACTATATATTACATGTCAAGAAAACAAACTTGAAGAATGCCTCCGTTAATTGATACAAATAATCTTTGTTGAGGAATTTTTACGCCTAATCACTGAGTAATCGTTGAATATATTAGATCCTCCCCCTATTTAATCTTATTTACAAAGAGTTTATTGCCACTCGGTGATATCTTACGTGTCGAGCACTAATGAAGCTCAAGTGTTCCTTTCTCCATTGGTTAGCAATTCCTAGGCCATTACATTTTCTTTGGTTTTCAAGGTCACAGATCATATGTTTGTAAAAACACTGTGAAAGCGTTATAACTGTCTTTGAAAAAAGAGGAGTTCGCTATTTAAGAACATCAATCTGAGTTGCTATGTCAACGCTATATTAGATTAGGGACTACAAGACGGTACACACTCATTTGTTCAGCTGATACAGCTAATGATACCAGTATGAAATAGGCAGTCTGCTTTTCTGTACCAGGTAAACCAAGCATTAGGCGAAATTAGCATCTATGGCACAAAAATCAATATAGTGTTTTACACTACCAGGAAAGTCTTAAAAATCAGCTTTTTAATCTTTTACCTTTTTCAAATTCAACAGAGAAAATGTTGCTATCAATTCAAAAGTAATCAAACACTCACATGAAGTAATAAGACAGCAGCAAAAAATGTAAGTCCTTGACAGTAGCCAACTTCTTCATCGTATAAGGCGTAAGCACGACTGACAAAAAATAGGCTCTCTTGACCGATTTTGTCACGAAAGAAACTATGCGCTGGGAATGTGCGTGCTAGATCGCGACGGATAACGTCGTCGTGTTTACACGGCTATGTGTAAAAACAAACAGAAATATGAAGATATGTAGCAAAAGCAGTATTGCATCTTTATCAACCTTGTCTCCTTAATAACACCAAAAAATTAATTATTAATTAGATAAAAATCTGTTGAAGCAGGTGAAAAAATGAATGAAATTCAGATCAGTATACACAATACTATGTCATTTAGTGTATGTCTTAATAGTAGCATGAGTGTAGAGCTAAAAACAACTAGATTATCGACAAAACAATAGTTACCAAATTATCTAACGCTCAAATCTTTTCAGTTTATCAAACTAAATTGATTAACACAAAAGCGCTTATGTAGCAGCAGAAACTGGACAATAGGGTATAATAAATCATCATCAACAATAAAAATCTACGGATCCTATTAACTGGCAACTTATGCAAAAAATCAGGACATAAGATTGTGACATATCCTAAATAGTTGGTTTGAGCGTTCAGGTTACAAAACGAATAGCGACTGAGCTGAAGAATATCGATTAAGTTGAAATATATATCCTAAATAACCGCAATAATAATCACGAAATTTTGGTTGAATCAAACTAATATAAGCATCAGTTGATAAGAATACCATTCTCACAATGATAAGACAGTTCAATTTATCCGCTAACGCGTAAGAAACTGTCTAATTTTGAATACAAGGAAAGTAAGTCAGTGGATGAAGTTGTGAATCTTCAGTGACAAAATTGGCTTACATGTATGCTGCGTACGCAGTTCCTACCTACCTCGACGTAAACTATTAGCCAAAACAGGACTGGGTTGTAAAAAAGTTAAGGATCATCAGACCACAACATGGGACTACTCCATGAAGCCTTTCAATGCTGGTTTGAATCATGAAGGGAAGTATATACTTTCAGGTTGACGTCCATGTGATAATATAAATCAACGGTGGAAGATTTTCGGAGCTATGGCTGAAAATTGGCCACAATGGCGTAGATGAATACACTATTTCATATCTTCAGAAGTTTGGACATTTTCACTATTTCTCATTTATTTCTCTCCTATCCTTCCATACAACTTTTACTGTCTTATTACTTTTTCTCTGCATTTCTTGTTTGTGTGCTGTTGTCAAATGTAGAAGCTTGAAGTGATACACTTTTCGGTCAGGTTCTACGTTGCTTTGTCTGTCTGTTTGACTCTGAATACAACAAGAGGTTGAACAGAGGACTGAAAAACATGGTAGTATCACCTCACCTGACTGCAGTTCTGCGGTTTCAGTATTTAGAACTATTAAAACATCAGTTTAAAACCAATCCTAAGTCATACTGTTTGAGTATTCAGCAATGAAGCAGTTATGGCTGACCATCTAATACACTATAATAAATGCTCTTACTGCGTATGACATTTTAATTTCGCAAGAAAGTATACTACTTCACCAAGTGATGAATCCGTATTTTCGCATTCATAAAGAAAAGTTATCATTACAATACTGAGTTAGAAAAGCGATATGCAAAATAGCAAGTGAACTGGTAGTGGTCGGTCAACGATAACAACATGAATGTAGCCTAAATCTTCGATACCTTCCATTTCAATTAAAAGGATCTTCCCGATTTATCAAAATGAGTTGCATAACATGGCTTTTATCATAAACATTATATTCTAAAGGTTGTAAAGCAGCTGAGGAGAATCCATGAAATGTATGCATGTTAATTCTGCTATGACCGACTTATGCAAAAGTGCAATTCACTTCAGTTTGGTGCTGCCAAAAAGCCATGACCAATGAACTTCGATTGGTGCTGAGCACTATGGAATATACATAATTGTAGATTGGGTCAGTCGTGACCTGAATGTTTGATTTATTTTGAGACATATCATCAAAAGTTTCCTATCATTGACTATTAATGTCTCGAGAACCCTCCTCAGGTGTCCTATACTTCTATATATGAGTGGCTTTTCTCCGACCTAATCGTATGAGAGCTTCTGGGCTGTCGTGGAACCAGGTTCAAAAGATCTCAGAGAACAGAGGTCACTGGAAGCGTGCTACTGAAGCCCTATGTTCCACTAGGAACCCAAGGGACTAATAATAATAATAAAATCGTATTGCATTAAACACTGTGCGTCAGGGCATACAGCAGATAAGTAGGCGCAAAACGTGTCCTCTTCCCTTCAGAATATAGTATTGGTCAACATCTTCAGTGATTGACTTGTCTACACCATAGTTTACATAAAAACTCGTCATCACCTATCATCGAAAATCTATAACTTCCTCATGTTCATTGTTAACGGCCATAATTTGCAGCTGCACAGTAAGACAGAATGGACTACTTTGTAATACACTTCTTTTTTTATAAGCGGTCGGATATTTCACTAGTATCATCGATATCACAAGCTGGGGAGTAATAAACGAGTCTAGAGAAAACTGATTAGTCACTGGAGAGCAATCGATTTCATGTTGCATAGTCCTGAATGTTAACCAAATTTTATCGACCACTATACAGAGCTGCCCAAACGGCTGTAATGACGTCACTGACTGCAACATTGGATGAGGTGGGTTCGAAACCCAAAGTGGACATCAGTCCCTTCAAGGTTGCAGATATGCCTTGCTGATGAGAGTCAACAAACACAAAACTTAGGTACATGGCTTCCTACCGATTGCCCCCAACCAACTAAGTCTCGGACATTCCTTCGAAAATTTCCTCGGCAACCAATCCAACCTTGTTATATCCTATTACTTTCTGATGGATGCTAACTTTATGTCAAGAGTGCCTAGATGTGTGCTCAATGTTTTCAGAAGGATATCATTTTTTTCAGCATTATTTGACAGGACTATATTGTCGATGAACTATAAGTCGGCTAGAGGATTTCTCAGTAGGAGTCAGAAGCATGCCATAGCATATAGCCTTTACGACCAAACTCTCCTGGTTTTAACTTGACAGAGTTTTACTGCCATCACATCCAAGTAAAACAAGTAGGAAGATTTCACCTTCGAGAGTGCAGTAAAATGCAATTATTTGAAGGATAAAGAAAATACTGAACTCAGATAACGATGAAAATTGTTTGATATTGCCTGAACTTCGATAGAAAAAGATGACTTTTACAGATAACTATACAATGATATTATATGCATTTAATTTTGTTACACTGCAACTGACCTGCAGAGCTACTGACCAGAACAGTCAACTTTCGCAGAGTCATAAAATGTACAAGTTTCTGTATGAGGTTTCCAGTTAAACTTAATGTGCTAAAGTTAGATGCTTGACTAGTCGTGACTAATATTTTACGTGAATATTTCTAGTTCATATATTAGCTTACTTTGGTGATTAGAATTCGATAGGCATCCATTAATCCACTTTCATCAACAGGACAACCAGACAATAACTGCCAAACTTCAGCTCTCAAAGCATCTGGAATACCTCGACTAACTAATTTTCTAATTTGCTGGCAAAATGCAGATCCCAAATGGGAAATATGTGGACCAGAACAACCACTGTGTAATAATTCTGTTCTAAAGGAATTTGTAGACAAACTAAGACCATTAGCTTGATCTTGTTTTACTTTGCTGTGCCATTCAGTAACCAACTGACCCCATTCAATCAGTAACTGATCATCCGTAATTTCTCTGGATACAATTCCATTGCCACTCATCAGCGGTTCGTTATCGTCATCTAAAAAATAAGTGTTTTTAAAGAGAACAATAATTTTGTAGGTTATAAAACAGGTTAAATAAACGAGTCCTGAAACGACTACTCAAGGGGCATTCGTTGAGAGTTCTCCACGGACGGCAATTCCATTTCCCTTTTTATTATTACATATAAAACATAGTGGCACAGCTGTAGTACCTACTGGGTGAGGTTTTGAAAACATCTTGGTGATGTAACAGTTAATAAATTAGACGATAGATAATAGCTTTCACGTGTTTTATTTTCATGTATACTGTCGAATAGATGATTCACATTAGATGAAAACCATAGAATACACTTTATATATATATATATATATATAACATCGAGGTAAGTAATATCACATCAACTATATTTGATTATTTTCAGTTAATTACGACAAATCATACTTTACTGAAATTTAATACACCAAAAATAGGTAGGTTGTTGCGTTCGGCAAGGTAAAACAAAGGTAGACAAACACAAAAGCTACCTAGACGATAGGGAGTCAGTCCAAGCTGTCATACTTTGCTGATGGTAAAATGAAGACGAAGAAATTAGTTATAGAGTGACAAGCAATGATATGGATATACAGGGAACATCAGTTAAGACTAACAACAACACATTCAAATTACAATCCCTCACTCATGCGTTAGAATGCTGAAGTTTGCATTGTGCATACTCAGATATCTAACTGAATACGGGTTTGTCAATTAACCAATTGATTTGCATCCCTAAATGGAAAACTTCACAAGTGAGTACAAAAAAAATTACTCAGTGGTTCAACAGTAAGTGAGAAACCCTTTTAATATTCCGATACTGTGATACTTGTGGTTCTTTGAAGTTATCACCGCCTGAACAACGTTTAATAATGATAACAAGATAGGGTTCGTACCATTATTAATAACCTATCATGCACATCATACAATATTATTCATACTCATATAATAATCTAATCACACGTTTGTAAATTTCAACTGGTGACTTCAAATGTAATAAATCTGGTTAATATTAGAGAGTTCTGCCACACCACTTAAAAATCGCTGTACTTAAGACTTAAACTTTTGTTGCTTTTATTTTCAATAATAAGCTTTTTAAATAACTTGTACCGGGCTTTTCAAAGTTTGTAATTGTTTGTCTTCAAACATTTGGGTAACTGTCATATAACAATGAAGCGAAGAAATGAAAATAGAAACCCCAGAAAGCCTAACCATTCACTTTATCTACGACTTATGTTACAGTATTATTGCATAGCTCAACCCAAGAGACATTTATTGACTCGTCATGCAATTTATTTTTCCTAATGAAAAATTAGCCAAAAGAATAAGGATTTGCTTGAACATGAGCCAATTTATATCAGTTTTTTTTGCTATCAGAACAAATCACTTGCAATTCATTTTGGTGGTTTTAAGGAATTTATTTATTTGAAGGTAGTATTTCACAACGGAATGACAGAAAATGAAGAACCTTCGTGCATTAAGTCCCCCCAAAATGAACTTGAATAATTCACAATGAGGAAGCCAACTGCCGAATAAAATGATGTCATCTTATTTAATAAGATTTTCGCCAGTTGTATACAACCTGAACAAAAAAATAATCACTGTAACAAATATTGATATAATTTATAAAGAGCGTTTTAAGATATAAGTTAGTGTTTTGAAGATCAGGAAAATATTACAATTCAGAAAACAAATGTGGTTAAGGTAATGAATTCAATCAAACTAGATACATTAGTTACTATTACAAATCAAACTGACCAATCTAGGTTGGCATGTGAGCTCGCTTGTATTACAATTATTATTATTTGTCCCTTGAGTTCCTAGTGGAATATATAGCTTCAGTAGCACATCTCCATTTCACTCTCTTCCCTGAAGTCTTTTCAACCTGGATCCACGACCAACCACAAGCTTCCATTTCTTTCTCACACCATCTCCTCCATGTCATCCTTGCATCAGACGCCCCACTCGTCGTTTCCCATGCGCGTTCCACTCCACGGCCTGGCCTGGCCTGGCACGTGATGTCCTCAAACCGTCTTCTCAATGTATGCCCAATCCATCTCCACATCCTTCTGCTTATTTCTTAGGCGATCGGTTCTTGGTTCCTTCGTTGCAAGCCAGAGTGAGTTTCTCGTTGCTTATTCTCTCTCTCGCCATTTATCTGATCTTCAGTAGCGAGTGAGTGTAGGCACCGGCTGTTCATGAATGTCTGTAGTTTGTTGCAAACGCTTTTCTTAACACGCCAACTCTCTCAAACATCAAATAGAAGCACTGACTTGACTGAATTAGTGTTGAAAATCCGGATCTTGATCTTTACGCTGAGTGGAGTGCAGTAGATCTCCACACTGGTTTCAGGTTGATGAACGCCTGTCTTGCTTCTCCCATCTTCGCCGCTTTGACGTCCTCGTCTGTGCCGCCACCGCCGCCTTTAGTTGAGACGATGTTGCCCCGCCTAGGTAGGTGAAACAAACAGCTTCCTTTAGATTTCTCCCTTCATGCTGATTGATGCTTGTTGTTGTTTGTTGGGTATCTTCATCACCTCCGTCTTCTCTACGTTCACCTAAAGTCCTGCCTTCGTTGCCCTTCCCCTACTGTCAACCTGTTGCTTTCCATCTGTAAATCTCCGAGTTAGCACGACAAGACATTTGACATAAATCGTCACCATCAGCGAAATCAAAATCTTCTTGGATCTTTTCATCGGTCAAACAACGTATATCCCTCTTCTCACTGCTCACACTTGTCTGTTGCATGACCCAATCCAGTCCACCACAATCAACAAGATCATGGGTGATAGTAGGTGGCAACCTCATCTTACTCCTTCCTGTCTTCACTTCAAACGCATCACGGAGCTTTCCACTGTGAATCATTTGGCATATACCATATATCATATAGCGTACAGCTGTTGAATGAAGTTCCTAAAGGTTTGTGGCATTAAAAGCGTAGTGTTGAAGCAGCTAGCTGCCTGCCAAATTACTTCTCAGTCGACGCTGCCAAAGGCCTCAACAAAATTGATGAATTTCAGGTAGAGAGTTGACTACCATTCCATGCTCTGTTCTATGATGATGCATAGCGTGGCGTTGCCTTGCAATTCGGTCCGCACATGATTTGTTCTTCGTGGAGCCAGCCAGACAACCTGTTCCGCTCGCAATTTTGAATCCACAGCATTTTCTGTTTAGTCTCTCAAAGATGGTGCAGCTCAATATTTTGCTTGGGGTGCACACAGACAGCAGCATGATTCGGCACCAGTTATTGCAAAGACGTAGGTCTTCCTTCTTTGGGAGCTTAACAAGGTAGACCTTCTTCCGCTCGGCAGGTACCCTTCTTTACTTCCAAACCTTCTGGAGTAGTGGTGTGAGCATATCCGCTGCTGTCTCTGTGTCTGTTCTCAGTGCTTCTGGTGGAATTCATTCTGGTCCTGCCACTTCCCTGGATTTCTGCAACTTTATGGCGTTCAGGAATTCACTTCGGCTTTTGTCGGAGGGCTTGTGGATGGGCTATTTCTGGACGCGTTGCAGGTGGTTGTGTTGGTGGTCAATTCAAGAGCTTTTTGAAGTGGTCAACCCATTGTTTCCTTTGTTTCTCCTTCTCATTGGTGACCAAGTTCCGTTCACTACCTTTCATTAGTCGTATCTGAGTTGATCTCTTCCCTTCCAGATGGTAACCTGGTTATTTGATATAATGTTATCAGGTCTCCGTCTCTCCTACCTGCAGTCTGTTCTACTTCACTTGCAAATGTGTCGTAGAAGTGTCTTTTTCCTTTGCACGCACTCCTCTTCACTTCTTTGTCCAGTGTTTTATATGCTGTACTCAGTTCCTCTTTTCGTTGTTCATCAGTGCACTGTACTGCACTGGTTCATCTTCTGCTTCACCATCACCATCTTCCTCTCCCTCCTCCATCAGCTTCCATGTGTCCGTCGAGATCCATTCCACTCATTGTCTTTCTTCTTCTTCCTTCCCAACACGGCTGTGCAGGTTTCCCTCCACGTCTCTTTCAAATAGTCCCAGTATTCCTCCACGGAGGTCTCTTCAGCAATGTTGCGCAGTATCTCCCGTTTTGTCTTGATGACTGGCTGACGTGAAGATGTCTTTTGAAATTTTGTCGTTCACTTCAGCTTCTGGGTGTTGAACTTGAACTGTGGTCTATCACCAACTTCTTCGAAAGCTCTCAACTTGATTTTGAAGGTTCCTTACCCTAGACAGTGAGTGGTCTGAACCTACATCTGCTCCCCTTCTCCACCTGATCTTGTGTCCAGTGGGCTGCGTCTCCACTTTCTTCACATTGAAATGAAACCGATCTGATTTTTAGTGTGTCCTGGTGTCTGGTGAAATCAAATCCATGTCGCTCGCTTTTTGAATATCCTTGTGTCTGTACACACTGCCTCCAATCAACAAATCATTAAATGTGCAGAAGTCTGCAAACCGTTATCCATTCGCGTTCATTTCACCGAGTGCTTCTCGACTCGTGATCAGTTCTCTTCTTGTGTTCTCCGCACCCAGTTTGGCATTCATGTCACCCATTAGAATTCTAATTTAACTGTCATCATGTGGGTTCTTGTCCATTACTGATTGCAATTGTCTGTAGAGTTCCTCCTCCTTCTCTTCATCTGCATTATTTGTAGGTGCGTAGCGTAGCATTGAATGGTTGTGACTTTCCTTCCTTTTGACTTGAATCTTGCTGTCATGATTCTGCAGGAGGAGATTGGTCCCCACTGCATGAGAGAGAGAGCCTTCGAGACTTTTGGGGACATCATGATAGCCATTCAAAAACTCAGTGTGCTCGTGGTTGTCGTGTTGTCTGGTTGACAATAGCCGAGTGGATTATTGACTCTACAGTTGACAGTTTGGAGTCCACTTCCATTCCATCTGCTCTCGCGGATTCTTAGCACTTCTATGTTACATCTTCTCATCTCTTTGGCAATGTGGACAGTCTTGCCGGCCAGCTTCAAACATTGTGCGAACATTCTGTGTCCCTTTTTACTTTTGTTTCCATTGAGAGAGAAAGAGAAGACACATAGGTCAGTTGGCTTTTCGAAGGCTTTCATCAATCGGCGTGATTTCGCCTCTCCGAATCCAGCGAGGAATAAGTTGAATTTTATGCTTTATATTTTGCTTGCGCTTTGAAGTTTCCTTAGCGGTTAGACTGGTTTTACAGGGTAGGGTTGCTAGCCCTACGCCCAACCTTCCCTCTTTATCCGGGACTAGGACCAACTAGTAACTAGTGAACTAGTTACCTAGGCGAGGTAGGTGAGCTCGCATGTAGATGCCTCGATAATGCCTGATTGTTCATCATACTGTAATTTTCAAGGTGGTGGCTATCAGAGAAATCCAGGATGCGCGTTTGCATCCTATTCACTGGAGTGGAGGCACATTTAGTTGACGGGTCTTAAATAAGAGAAGTACTTCCTGGATTCCGCTGCTGGCCACCACCAAGGAGATTGAAACTAGGTATATCTTATATAAGGGACGTGAGGAATGTTCATGAACGAGTGAGATACGATTATAAATAATCAAAAGGGGTTACGTAACCATGGAAAAATATCATCTTAACAAAATGAGTGGGTGAGATAAAATTATCGTAATAATAACAAATACAGCAATGATCAAACGATAGTCAATATGAATATGGAAAGGAATAAGCATAAAATAAATGTACTATAAGATGTTTTGGAAAGAGTGGGAGGGTGAAAAGCCAATAATTACCAGGGTAATAATAAGTTGGTAACTGTCTCATGTGAACCATATGTCATGTTGAACTCATCCGATGGTGAGAGCTTCGGCCATTCAAAGTAAGAGCAAAGTTTTAGTTCTATTGAATTCAATGAAGGACTTCCTCCACATCCATTTGATGCCCCGTATCGCATAAGTGGTGAAATATTGTACAGCTGACGAGGGACAGACCGTTGAGACAGACTTTTCAGCATATGCTCAGGAATCCTTGTAAAAAACAGTGTTAAACTCTCTCTCCTCTTTACTTTTGCGATATTCCTGCGCGAACTTCACAGCAGAACCATCATTGTGGAAATATTGTTCGATTAGCTAAAATTCTTCTGGCTGTCTTTTTTGGAAGCACAATCTCTGGAAGTAATGAACAGCTATTTTATCCCACTATTGGACTCATCAGAAGTGAGCACCTACAGTTCAGCAAGGAACCGGGCCCAGAACTGTCAGGTTTCGTGGGTGGTGAGTCTCATACTAGGACGAAACAGATGTTCAGTGCTCCAAGGTTTTCAATGGTCCTCCAGAGGACGTCAGTCCGTGATGAATAGTACCTTGAGATTGCTTATAATTTGATTAAGTCACTTGACAGAGATGATGGCACAACCATATATAAACACAACCATCCAATTCCAAGGTGTTCCAGTTCCCCATCTACCGAACTTCATTCATAAAATAAATGTCTCTCCTTTCACAATCTAAATCCATAATTTTCTATATATTAGTCATTTCCAACGGTTATTACAGATATTTAGATTGGGTAGATCCATAAAGCGACATCTTACGGACACTTAGTAGAGAACAATAATTGTAAAATATATAAGCACATCCAACCTCTTTGGGTAACGGATTCCAGTGTGAATACATGTTAAGAAGTTTTTGGGTGAGTGCTTGAATATCGAACAACTGGAAGGCTGTTTTTATTTTTCTCGAATAAAAATAGGTCATACCCAAAAATCATTAAAAAAAATTTAGTTACTAGTCACATGAACTTACTAAGTTATGAACACTGAGAATAATTAGCAATCTGAGAAACGTAGGTCATAATGTACGACATGTTTACTGGTCAAAATTAATGATGAACTCTAAAATGTTCATCGCCATAAACTAGATTCACATAGATCTGTCTGGCTTTTCTCAGTTGGCAATATCAATGCACATGAAATTACAGGGTCATTATATGCTTAAATGACGAAGCTGATGATTAGTTATTTGATAAATTAGCTTCTGTGCATCGAGAACAGTAAGAACCCATCTACTGGGATGTTATTATAAACGTTGACTATAAGTGGTATTCTAGATGGATTCGGTGCGTTTTACGCATCAGTTCAATGAATGGCGGGAGAAATAACGGGAAATAAAAAAATTAATTCGTTTCTTATGAAGCTCAGCGTATAAAGCTTACATGCTAGCAGTGTAGTTTCGTTATGCAGTAATGTGCGCTGAATTCTCACTCCATGTGCTTTGGTGTCCGACAGATAACAAAGGTCGGCTGCTGAAGACCCTAGGTGAAAGGGCTAGAAATCTGTCATAACAGTACAGATGCATGTATGTTTTATCGCTGTGCCGCGTACAATTGTTTGCTTTCTCTAATGGCTTTTTGTAAATTCTGATTACATTCTATTTATTCCCTTGTCTTCTATCTTGGTGACCTTCACATGCAGGTTGGAGCTATAATATCTAGGAGTCCTAAGCCGTAATTTCACGTCCTAATTTACTAATGTTTATGTTTACAATCGGGAATGAAAAATTGAAAAAGTAACCAGCCCGATGGAAAATAATCGTGACTGGTTGCATATGAGATAATTATGAAAAGTACACACGCACAGTGTAAAAAACTAAGAACTAGTGCACCTACCAAGCAGAAGTATTACCAGTCGACTTAGTTTAACAGATAACAGGTATGTAAAAGTACTGCTATGTATTGCTTAGTATATACAAGGTGTTTAAGTTTAAAGGTTTGTGGATATAGTTCACATTTTCTCACTTCTGTTTATTCTCGGTATGGTGCAACCATCCATCCAATGACATCGTTGAGTATTTGTTCTCACTTCCAACTTGGTTTGCCCAACACACTACGACTTCTCACTACAACTTCGCGACATCGCATCTCGAAGCATGACCAACTCTATGACTGAGTGGTTAAAGTGCCCGCTGAGACCTGCTGGGTCCGATTCCTGGTGCGGTCATGAGTTATGCACTTATGAGCGGTCTCATACTACGAAAAAACAACTGTCCAGTCTTCCAACGTTTTAACTATTCTACAACTAACGTCAGTTTGTGATGAATGCTACCCTAAAAAGCGCTGTTATGAGTGATGTGTATCTTTATTGAAACTGAAGTATTTACTTGGTAATCTAGTGGACGTAAGAATTGAGCTAAAAGCGTGTTTAGCATAAGCAGTTAGAACTTTAACTAACTTGAGTGCTACAAATCATATGGAAGTGGTATGCACGAGTTTCAGTAAGGTATTTTCTTAAAGATCTCAGAAAATAAGAAGTTAGGTTAACGACTAAATGACCTGACCATTTCTTAAATACTGGAATGTAAATGTGCATGGCAAAAATCGTAGCAACGGACTATAAATAATTAGTTCTAACAATCATACTTACAACTCAGAATATCAATGAATAATAATTCCATACTGATCACATGGTGGATAGAATTCACCTTGAATAAGCTACCTATCAATTAAGACATACTAGTATGCCTCATGAAAAAAGACTGACTAACAACAACAGTTTGTTAGCTGATTGTTTACTAAATGAACAAAAGAACAGACTATAAGATAGGCTTATCGCCAGATAATCCACACCAAATCACACCTACAAACTGCTTGAAGGCAATACACAACCATTTTGAGGTGGCCTGTCATAAGGGAAATAACGAAAAGTTGAATGATACGGAAAACTAAACGGTGACGTCAGGGAAACCGAAACTAAGTATTTTGACAATATACTTCTACTAATAGAAGAAAAGTGAAGAATACTTCCTGAGAGATAAAATGTTGGATAAGTAATTTGTATATATGAAATTCAAACTCATGCTCCAAGACCACATTATACCCATGCACGTTTTAAGTGTTCTGATAATTGCCAGTACTAACAACACTTACACCTATAAAGTCCAAACATATGCCTGAACAACTCAGAATTTGTCCTTAAAAATGTATTTGAGAGTCTATAAAGTGCAAATCAAGTCTGTTTATTTTGGTGTTGGTTTTTTTTAACCCAACCTCTTCCATTGTTCAGTATGATAAGTAACTAATATTGGCATTCTATAATTGTTACGACGTACTGGTTTTGCAACAAAGTAATACAGAGATATCAGAAGCTCAAATATTCCACTGATAACAGGATAACATGAGTTTTAAGACGTTGATCACAATATATTCACAGTAAATTCCAGCGAGAAAAAACACCTAAACGGAAAAATAATGACTTTGAAAGATTACTTGAAACTGTGGGTCACTAAACAGTTGTTGCATCTTAATTTAGCCACATTAAACAGTATGAATCCAGTTCTCTTCCTTTCCTTTTCCAATAAAGCATAACTTATCCTCTGATGTCCTTTTAAGGAATCGATAAGACTCCTTAAGGGAACATTCAACAATAGTCTTCATATCAGCGAATAATGAACCTTAAGACCAGCCAAAAATAATGATATATCGTGTGTGTTTTTTATAAGTAGGACTTGTACATAAATTAGAAATATTGTATACAGGCAATCGATATAAATATCGATTACAATCATCTTTCCATGGTATTCAGTGTAAGCAACACGCATATTGTGTACATCATATATTTTGCAAGTAAACAAAATTTTAAAAAAGTATATTATAGAATAGTTATGGTTATCGTATGTACTCATCAGCAATTAATTGAACTTACCTTCAGATGGATTACCAACTGGTGTGACATTTGTAATGGTTTGATTATGATCTTGATGAAATGCAGTCACATCTGTGATTGCGACTATTTTACCAGCGTACAAATTTCCATTTTCATCTACACTCTATAACAATTAGTAATATTGAGAAAAAGGTTTCAAGTTAATAATGATAATGTTTAAAATACAATAAGAATCAGAAATCTTTTTCAAGAAATGGTATTTTAACCGGTAATCGAACACCAATATGTCTATTTATAACAAGAAACGATAGACAATTTCATTGCCGATTGGGAATGAGGGTATGGGACTAATACAGGAATTCGCATTAGCAAAAAAACATAAACCCACCTGCCACTGGTCTACAATTATTTTTCAAATTGGAAGCGAAATTCAATTGGAAAACATGTACATGTCCGTGGGGTAGGCAGTGAATCACACTTAATGCGTGATGGTTAATGATAATAACTAGCTGCCTAAGTCTCAATAGGTGCAGTAGGATTCGAACCCACAACCTATTGGTAGGAGATCGAGTGCCTAAACCAATGAAACAAGACTATATTAGATATTACTTTTACTGTTTTTCATTATTTGTCCCTTGGGTTCCTAATGGAACATAGGGCTTCACTAGCACGTCTCCATTCAACTCTGTTCTCTGAAATCTTTTGAACCTGGTTCCACTACAGCCCACAAGCTCTCATTTCCTCCTCACACGATCTCCTCCATCTCACCCTCAGCTAGGACGCCCAACTCATCGCTTCCCATCTGGGTTCCACTCGAGAGCCTGACGCGTGATGTCCCCAGTCGGCCTTCTCAGTGTATGCCCAATCCATCTCCACTTCCTTCCAGTGCATATTTGTTCAGCGATAGCTTCTTGCTTAGTTCATTGTCAGAGTTCCTTGTTACTTTTTCTTTTTATTCTGACCATCTTAGCTTCAGTAACGAGCCAGCGTAAGAGGCAGTTGTTGATGAATGTCTGTAGTTTATTGGAAATCCGTTTCGTAACCCGTCAAGTCTCTGAACCATACAGAAGCACTGACTTGACGTTGGTGTTGAAAATCTGCATCTTGTTCCACATGCTGAGTGCAGAAGATCTCCACACTGGTTTCAGGCTAATCAACGCCTGTCTTGCAGTCTCTCCGATCCTGACTTTGACGCCCTCGTCTGTGCCTATGGTGCCTGTAGTTGAAACAGTGCTGCCTAGATAGGTGAAGGAGGCTACTTCCTTTAAGTTTCTCCCGTTGATGGTGATTGGAGCTTGTTGTTGTTGTCGTTGTTGGTTGAGTATCTTCATCACCTCTGTCTTCTCTATATTCACTTGAAGTTCCGTCTTCACTGCCTCACCTCTTCTGTCAACTTGTTAGTTTTCGCCTGTAGATCTTCAAGTTTGTGTGACATCAGGCACAAGTCATCATTAGCGAAATCCAAATCTTCTAGGTTCTTTTCTGCAGTCCAGCCATTGTATCCCCCTCTTCTCACTCCTCACTGTTTGTTGCATGATCCAGTCCACTACAATCAGGAATATCATGGGGGATAGTAGGCAACCTTGTTTCACTCCTGTCTTCACTTCAAAAGCATCACTGAGCTTCCCACTGTGAATTACTTGGCATGTGGCGTCTTCATATAGTTGTTGAATGAGGTTGATAAAGGTTTGTGATATTCCGTAGTGTTGAAGCAGTTGCCTGCTAAATTACTTCTCAGTCGACGCTGTCAAAGGCCTTCTCAAAGTCGATCAAGTTGAGGTGTAGAGTTGACTGCCATTCTATACTCTGTTTTATGATGATGCGAGGCGTTGCGATTTGGTCTGCACATGATTTGTACTTCCTGAAACCTACCTGTTCTAGATATTAGTTAGTGATGGAAATAGCATCAACAAATACAACTATGATACAAGTAAAAAATGATTGAAAAAATATGGTCGGAAAGCTGAATACTTTGCTTTTACCGCATGTTGTTACTCATGATAAGGCTTCCTAAAAAAGAAATGGGATCATAAAAGTGAGCATTTTAAAATAGTGGTAGAGGCTGTCCTTAAATAAGATCTGCCAAGAGGCTTATGATTTCACAAACATGCGTGAGCAAACAATGGTAGATCAGCTTCTTTTCTATATTTTTAGAGAACTAACAGATAGAACAATCGAGGACTGCATACGAAAATGTATTAATGTAGGCTCCTATAATTCACAACAGCGTAGCAGAAATCCGATAGTAACGATAGATAGTTTCTAGTAGTGGAATACACTAACGGATAACACTTTGGCCTGAAGCGATGGGTTCTTGGTTCAAGTTTCAGTGGAAACAACGTCGCTTACTGTAAGGCAGCCATATTCAGCTGGTGAGTCCCAAGCAGAACAAAACTAATCCTTTCGATTCCCCCGCTAGCCACTATTCATCGGTACTATTAAAATGAAATTAAGGGCAATATCGGCAATTTCACGAAGATCAAAAAACCAATAACAGCCGACCAGTTCGACCCAAGTCGACAACAAAATATCACACGCTACAACATGAAAACACGATAATAAAAGAAAACCTAACGCGAATCAGTAACCACTTGTATATTCTTGCATCAATTAATGAGCTACATCTGTTTGTGGAATGATGATACTAACTAGCTTACCTTGACATGATGAACGGAATTCCAGCCAGTGGTCGAATGGCTGGAAGTCAAACACCAATTCCAATGAAATCGCACTTAAATGGTATCAAGTACATGCAGCGCTTATGGATTTTTACCGCCAATTGATTATAGTCAACTTTAGTACCTTGTAAAGATTAATTTTAATAAACCGAGAACGAACAGATCAAAAGTTGTGAGATGTTTGATAACTTGAGGAACATAAAGAGCAGATAAAGCTGCACCAATGTGAGCAAGTCTGAGAAAACTGTCGATTCCTAATACTCTGAGGACTTCAGTCAGGTTACCCATGCTTATCTACAAAGTTCACACGTGGTCACTGATTTCATGAATTCGTATCATGTCTTGCACCAACTACCGTTAGCTTATTTCTAACCGATCTGTTTCAGATAAGACCATGAATTAAGTTGGCATGGGTAAAATATGTACCAAACTGTTAGCCAGTATGTGTGCTAGACCGCACTGACTAGTTTCAATGAGTAGCCCCACCGATAGATGCTACCTTGAAGTGATGGTCAGGTTTGTATATCACAATGATCCAACGGGGTACACTAGCTCGAGTATCAGTTTCCTCGAGGTCCTACCATGCCGAAAAGGTCTGTTGGAGAGTAGTAGTAACACGAAGAGCAGTTACCGCTGGTGTGTTAATTGCTACAATGAAATGGGGATTCCGGGGCGAAGTTATACTGCTGGTCGGATGCAGTATGGCAGCAGTCGGACGTTTCCCTTGCATGACCATCAGTGCCAGATCGATGCTGCCGTCGAATCGGCCAACAAACCTTGCTAGTAAAAGCCCTAGCAACTTGGGCTATGGATGACTGCTGTGTTTGTCTCTTTGCAATCTCTGCTTACACACACTGACTGTATTTAGATTGAGTGAAAAATGAGTGCTACAAAAAAACATCTAGCCTCGTAATAAAGGTCAAACGTCCAGACGTGGTTGTTGTAGCAGGTGACTTTAATGCAAAAGTGGGCAGGCTAAGTCAGGCAAAAAGGCATTTAGGTGGCACTTTCGGAATCCCAGCAGTACGAACAGATAACGGCGATCGCCTGTTATAACTGTCATCAGATAACCACTTATTACTAGCCAACACAAACTTCAGACATGAAGAGATACATTGTGCGACATGATATCCGCAGAAATGAACGGCGGACAGGGATAGACCATGGATCAGTCATCCAAAAAAGACTCATTGGAGGGTTGCCTCCAAATCTGGAGCACGTCTTTGAACAGCGACCAAGCGTTGGTTCGAGCGCACGCGCGTCTTTATATCAATGGACGTAGGAAAACTGTATCAACAAGACCATTCCAAGTATAGCTCGACAATAGGACCACTAAGGTTACTCTCAGTGAGAAACTCGCTCGACATTTATCGGAGGAGAACAACAGCACTCATTAAAAAGAAGCCTGATGTCATCTCCGATCTGTCGTGAAAACACTGATGAAGACTGTAGCCGACTTCCAAAGAGCGATGAAATAGTGCAAGTGGATTTAAGCAGCTTCTTCCAAATTATTGGGTGTAAGTGAACGCATCCCTGCAGACCCTGAGCACAATGAGGGGCAGGAACAACTGAAAAGTAAATTGACAAGAAGTATACTCAATGATAGCGAACAGTGGTGAATGATGAGGGCTGAAAAGATGGGAAAGGTAGAGGCGAAAGGTATCCGTATACAACTAATTAAACTTATTAGGAAACCCAACTAAAAGGTCAACGACTAGTTAAACTATAGTGGAGAAGGATAGGTCTGTGATTCACTCTCAAGAAAAATGACTCGAACGATGGGAGGGACACTTCGACGAACAGTTCAGCTGGCCTACCGCCAACATTCCGTTGCTTGCTATCCAGTCCCATCCTTACTGAAACAATCAGATAGGGTTTCACACACTCTCCAAAGTCAGTAACGCCGTAAGTGACTTGAAACGAGGAAGGACAGCAAGGCCAGACACAGCAGTACCAAAAGTAGCTAAGGACAGTGGTCGCCGATGATTGGTCAAACTAAACAAACTGTTAATTTGTATGTGACAGTCAGATATGATCCCCTCTAACTGGTCTCGACCACTGGTTGTCCCAGCCTTCAATAAAGGCGAGAAGTCCTCTAGCGATGACCGCATGAAAATCAGTCTGCCGAAAATGATATCCTAAGATGCTAGATTCCATAATCATCACATGTGCAGGAGGATCTCGGGCACAACAAACCCGAAGAAAATGGGCAGTTTCCAGGCATGGTTGTGGGCGTCGGTCAGACACTCACGCTTCACGTGGATTTGGAACACAGTGGCTGCGTTTCTTCAACTAAAGACAATAGTGGAATCCATCGATCGAGAGGTCTCATGGCAATTTTTCTCCCTGAAAGCCATACCGAGTAAGGATGTCACTTTGCTGAAATCCATTTACTCGAACGCCCGTGGGCATGTTAAAGCCGGTCGTGCGTCGCGCACGTCGAGTGATGTCCATCAAGGATGTTCACTTTCACCATCCTTATTCAATTTTATTATAGATGCTATTATGGAGCTCTCTCTCTCGTCACCTGGCTTTACATGGATTGATCTTATCACAACAGAAACCTTGATAGACCTGGGGTACACAGATGACTTTGTCCTGTTAGATGGAGACACTGACAGATGTAGTTTTCTGGACATCTTGAGTGGCAACTTCAGGATGTTCTAGATGTGTTTATCGCAACCCGAATGCAAACTGTTGTTCAAGAACTGGTCTTCAGAGATATCCTATCCAATAACAGGGAGTGAAGTGGTTCGATGCATTACCTGGAAATTCAGATCAGCCCTGGAGGGTCAGTGATCGAGGGATTCTGTGCACGGATACAAAGCGCTCGACTGGCCTCCACCAACTTACGCCACTTATGGAACTGAGATGACATCTGATTATCTATTAAGGGTCAAGCGTACAGCACTACAGTTCGTTCTGTTCTACCACATGGTCGCCGAACAGAAATTAAAGGTAGAGAACATGCGAGGGTTTCAGGAGTTTGACCATCGTCGCCTTCGTAGTATAGGCCATGTGTCGTGATATCACCATACCAGTAACGCAGAAGCCAGATATAGAAGTTTAGAGAGAAGAGGAAAGGTATTTAATGAGTTTGTGAACCTTGATCAACTGATGTGGCTGGGAAATGTGTTACGCATCCAAGTCACTATTTTGCCTCATGGCGCAATATTAGCTGAAGTAGGTTTTGACTGTAAAAAGGCTCGGGGTGACCGGATTAAAACATAACATCAGTCATTTAAGTCTTTGACTGTTGGTCTGGACCCCTCAGGGGACTCCATATGAGGCGGTTGGAATTCGTATGGCGACAGAAACTAGTAGTTGCAAACTCTATGTGATGTGGTTCACAATCGGTATCAGTGGCGTAGATGTATCCGCGCATTATCATAATCTTAATCGTCATAATGAATTTAGTATTTCTCCATTCCTCCGACCTTTTAACAATTGCAACTGCTTTTCACTGATTCTTCTTTATTTCTTAATCTTTCACTTTAGTGCTTTCTCGCTTGATGTGGTGATATGAAGTGTGGCGACTTGGACTTTACACAGTAATGCCTGGTCTTATGTTGTTGATGATGATATTGAGTAGCAACTCAACGTTGCTTCCTCAATAGGTGTAGATGGCTAAGATAAATGAAAAGATCGCATGTTGTTAGGATTGTGATACTTCAAGCTAATTATCTTAGCTATCCAATCTGTATTAAAATTCCTATTGAAATTAGATTCCATTATTTTTAAAGGAAAGTTTTCGATGAAAAAAATCATAGTAAGTCACCTCAAAACACCGCAATTGAGAGCCCTGGAAGTAGTTGTTGACCACAATTGTAAATGCTAAGGATGAGAATTTGAAACTGTAGTTCACCAAATTACGTCGTAACCTTCCAACAACTGATTTAAAGGTATGAAATGTGTCCCATTTACTGTAGCTTAGGTAACTAGATAGCATCATCACTCTTTACACTACATAGTTAATCTATAATTTAATGTAGGAACAAGTGCATAATTCTTCAGTTACGGATATCTCGGTCTGCATAGAAAAACAAATAACCAAAAAAACTTATCAATGGAATGGGATACGTCAGGCTGGGAAATGATAATCTCTACTAAGAATTACTAAACTTAGTGGCCATTCAGCAAAATAAATGAAACTTAATACTTCAGAACAAATATTCGGACACTGATGTGTAAGCAAACAAAGTGTGCTGATTTTAGAGAACACTGAAAAATGTCATGTTTCCATTAAACATTACTGTGAATATCTTGAGAACCACAAAAATAGAGTGAATGGTTCCAGCAAGTCAAAAAGGATGATAATAATCAATAACACGAATCATAGAAAGTAAACTTAGTAATACCTAGTTAATTAGTGTATTACATTGTATATTGCACCTACTTTCTGTTATAGAAAAAAACACAACTCCACAGCACAAACTAGAATGGATAAAGTATAGTTCAGAGTCACAACTAGGCAACCGATAAATGACCAGTTATAAGAATGCCTAATAAATTCATTAAAAAGCTAGAGGCAAATGGAGGTTGAAATCATATTGATCTACATTAATTTCGAATGACTTTTATTTATTTGATGAACTTATTGATGAAAAAGACAGAAGAAAAAATAAACGTTTTGACACCGTAAACAAACCTCAGTTAACTGAATAGTATAGTCCTCTATGACAGGTTTTCTATCTAGAGAGAGCCAAAATATTTCATCTGCCTTATAGACACGTGCTCGACAAATTCGGCGTAGAGCTAACGGTTTCTCAAGTCTATGAACAAGGAAGCGAACAATGACAGTGAAGAATATACATTCATCTAAAAAGTAAACAAAAAAAGGAGACGGAAGGTAAATACTGTACAGTGTAGTCTAAATCATCTATTGAACGAATTTTAAACCAAATAAGTTTAAACTGCAGTAAAACATAGGATCTAAAGTATCATACCATATCAGTAAGCAATTTAGTTACCATATAAATTTCTATATACTTAGTTTTAAATTGGAGCCACTGTCCAAAAGTCAACAGTGTTGTCTATGCGCCCAAAATTTAAAGTATAGGATTTAGGCTCATAACCCAGTGGATCAAAAGGAAATACGTAAACCTATGAGATATAACTCCCACCGAACCCGCGTCACCCAGTGTTACAGTCGAAAAAGTTACCATTGAGCTATTAGGACTATGACTGACCTCACCTAGGACTGGGTTGGGTGCATTGGTTACTGGAGGATGATGAGTCACTACCGTTGCTTCGAATCTTGTCATGAACAAGATTTTCATTTCACTTTAAACCATCCATCCATCATCAGTATTACGAGTCTTTCAAACTTCTACTTCTGGATTTTTAAGCGTTTGACGAGGCATATAATGATGAATTTCTTTAAAGAATACCTCAGGACTGGACTGTTGGTTACAGCTATCTATAGCGAATGATAAAATGCTAAGAATAAGCCGTGTTACGGTATGGAAAAGTACTACCATTTTTATATGAACAGAAAGCTATAGTTACTTTTCAACGCAACTGAAGGCTGTGCATGTTTCAGTTTCTTTATTTTCTGAAAGTTATTAACTGGGTGTTTTAAGTTCACTCAACTAAAAACGATCTTTTGTCGAGAGATAACGAAAACTAATATTTCGCATCTGCGTTTTTTCTCCTCTTTTCTGAGTCTTATGTCTGGAACACTGTGTTAGCGTTAGTTACACAGCGGTGTAGTGCTTCTCCAATTAATCAGCTTGTAATATAAAAAAGAGGTTCTACAGAAATATTGTAGTTGAAAGTCATCGTATATGGAAAATGTGGGTTGCAACGATTTAGATCTGTAATAACCTGACAACCCTATGCTGTGAGATTTGTATGAGGTGATTCGTCAAATGTAACATTACATCAATACCAATCTTAAAATGAGGATAATTATAAATACCAACACTTCATGTTTCAAGCAGACCGAGTGTAAGAATGTAACTCAGCAACTACAATGAGATATATCTGTTTGCAAGGGATAATGATGCTACGTAAGTGTCTAGATCTTTCTAGGTGAAAACAGTTTAAACTAGTAACACATCATACTAAAGTCAAATGCTTAGGTCAATATACTACAGTTCCACTTTTAAATCGTTGACGTTTACATGAAAAACAATTCCATTATGACCTAATCGGATTCGACGTCAATATGTTTCAAAGATTTTCACAGCATATGACACCTAAATACCAAGTTAAGCTCTTAAATGAAACAAAAGGTTTGACAAACGCTTGACTTTAGGCAGTATGCCATGCTTGACACAATAGAAACACTTTTTTTGCATATGATATTCGACAGAAAAGAGCGATACGCATTGAAATAATATCTTCAGAAATATGCATCAGATATCCTTCTATCCGTTTTTTTCGCTTATCAGCAAGACTTTTACAATTTCACTGATCACTTTTGATTACTGATAGAGACCGGATCATGAGAATAGTTACTGTATTCTATAAACAATAAACGAGATACTCTATATTCAGTAAACAGTTTGCAAATATGAACGCAGCGGCAGTTGTTTATATCATACCTTTTGAAATAATACAGATGCTTTGACACACTTCAACAGCGAGGTTTTACAACCAAGTGTTCAACGTAAAAGGTATCTTACTATGTTATCATCTCCCTCTTATAAACTTAAAGGGAAACTAGAGAAGCAGACAAGTTAATGGAAGTAGTTGATTTCAGCGAAGATGCATTTTCGTTAAAGTTTCAATAAACTCAACATTGAAATATGAAATTTTAAAACACACTAGCAACTTCCATAAATGATTATCAAATGTTTACTTAACAACTTGGGCGTAAATTGTTGGTACATAACTGTATACTTGACAGAGGTATAAAGTAAAATTAAAATTGATCAACACATGGATAGATAGATAATGAGACAGTAGGTATGAAGTGAAAATGAAGTTAAATCGGGAAGACTAAAAGTATGTAGGAAGGGTTGCGTTGTGATACGGGACATCAAGTAGATGTGATGAAACCCTTCATAGTAGTCAACAGACACCTACTCACTCCTAGTCCTATCTCACTCATTACTCACTTTACCTCATATAACCCTTATATAGTATGACTGAATTTCTGGAAGTTAATCAAAACAGTGAATTTAATCAAGTAAAAATCATGTTGTGCTCTACTTCCACCTACTTTAGAGTTCCGTTTACGAAATAAATAGTGGATACACATTCAATTCGCAGGATCTACATCTGTACAATATATTCTTGCTGAAAGTTACCCGATTATAGAATATCCAGGCCATATTCGATCAAACAAATACAGATGTATGTTATACTATTCAATAAATACACAGAATAATTACTCACCACGACTTCCAACAACATCGAACATGGAAAACTGATTGTGATTTGACGGCCAATTGACCCAAGCAGAAAATGAAGTTCCACTTATAAGGTTTGAGGATGCTTCTCCTCGAGTAGCATTTTCTGCACCTCCCAGATAGGTTAATTCACTTTCTGATAAATAGCGACCATAACCTACACATATGTCTAAAATCCTAAATAACATATACAAACAAGAAAATATAGTGTAAATATATACTCACCATTTTAATACCAATAATATACAATCGGTGCTCGAAAATAACAGTTGGTTCCTAATGACAAATTTTAAAATGTCAACGTGGCAACTCAGTTATAATTTTTCGATGCTAAGACTCATCAAATCTGGTAATAGCTTTAACAATACCATTGTTCAGTTATTCTATTCAAACTATATATGTGATAAAATGTTATGGGAATAGATAAACTTAATATTTTCAGTAAGATCATAAAGCCTTTGTGTTTGTAGTATTTTCAAGACTTTTTCTTTACACTATGGAATCTTGAATTCCTTACATTTCATTTTCGCTCACCTACTGAATCCATTGAATGCAAGTCAAAATATAAGAATAATTATTGCATTTACAGTATCTGTATTGCCGCTGAGGTAAAGCATTTAACAATCAGATAAGTATAAACTCCAAAATTAAAGAACCAGTGATCGACAGAGAGGGCATGTACTATTGATGTTCGAATATCTTATCAAAATGGTTGGTATCTACATGGTTTTCATAGGTTTTCTATCCTTTCGAATAAAGCGAAATAATCGACCTAATCGTACTCGACTTTTCATTCTTGAAAACGTCATTTGGCTGAAGTGTACGTACGACTTTGTATAATGAAGCCTATGACGAAGCAATTTGTTCGTATAAAGTATATCAGTAACTAATTGTTAGAACCCTACGTTCAAGTTCTTAGCTGGATATTAGTATTTCATCCAGGTTGTAGATATATGCGAATATAATTGATAGTTGATGAATAGCTGCTGATATTTCCCTTGGAATGTACTCCTTACATCACATTTGTCTGATTTCAAACCGCATTAGTGACTTCTTTGAACTCAGTCAACCCAATATCATACAATTACTGACTGCCTATTATGATTTTTAATTTAGTGCAACTGTAATTGATAATCCCTATGCTTGTTAACCGTTTCAATATACTGACTATCTGAAATCTTGTGGAATAAACTGTTACACAATTTTAATGTCATAATTGATTAAATGTATAGATAACTATCATGTGAACTACTCAACGTGTTCTTGTTTCTAAGTTTGAAATATTGTATTTAAAGCTAAAGCCTGATGAGACTTTGACAAAAAGACGTATTCATTCAAATTCTTGTCTTTTCAGTGTTACCATGCGATAATTATCTGACTAAACATTCAACTGTTGAGAGATATCAGAACTATTGAGGAGTAACATTAACCGCATTGTATGGTCCATACGAAGAGAAATGGACAAGGAGATTAAATACACGTTTTCGGATTCACTTATATATCCTTGATATTTTAATTTTGATTATTTTCCTGAAGAAGCTCGGATCAGACTTCCATGTGAAACGTTAAAATTATTTGATTTCAAACTTCCGGTGACTCATACAAATAAATTATTTTTCTAATGTCAACCTTTTACTCAGAGCCCAATACTTGCCATACTATCCGATCAAATGTTGATTATAGTTTATATAAATCCACAAGTGTTTATTCACTGGAATTTGTGCTGACTTTCAGTCCTCTAAGTAACTCTATTTACCATATTCCTATAATTTCATACATTCTGACCATCAAGTAATTCATGAGGTTAGCGTTGACGATGCCACTAAGCCCAGTGACGGGAAGTTCACAATGAGATACCAAAATCCCTAGAGTACTGAACAGTTCCTAGTAAAAAGCTTGGTAAAAAGTCCCATCGAAGATTACTCCAAATGCTAGGATTTGAAGATAATTTAAACACATTTTAAGGTCAGAAGGGATAAAAAATAAAATACGTCTACTAACTTGTCAATTGGCAGATATACATGGCCATCAACTTGACTGATACCAACGAATAGGCGTTTAGCTATACTTTTTCGCACTTTGAATAGTTCTGACTTTTCCTTTGGTACAGGAGTATAATTAACACCTGATCCATCATCTTCTCTGACATCCAAATGTAAACGAAGGCTAAACAACATTTTTTAAATTAAATAGTTATTTGAATGAACAAAACAAAAAGGCCAGACAAACTCCCTTATATTTAAAATATGGAAAATAAAATGTGCATAAACAAAATTTTCATACGAAAGAAACTAAGCCAGTCAGGAAAAATCATTTACTACTCAACTTCAATGTTAAAGGTCATATAATATATTGCAAAGATATTCAAGCAGACTCTGGCATAGGTTTTCAAAATTTACTTCAAGATTTCAATGTGACTAGGCGACTTGGTAAAACAACTCAAGTAGATTCGGATCGGGATGAGAAGTCCTGGCTAGGCAGCCAGTGCTAGTACGATCAAGTGATAGTAACGCATCACGAATCCACATAGCAGTCGGGCAAAAACCCTTGGCCATTGAAGTGAAATAAAAATCTGACCAGTAGTCAAGTCGCGTAGCTAAGTTAGTAGAGCACCAGGTCGGAAACCCAGTAGTCACTGGTTCGAATCCTGCAGTGACCCAGATTTTCATCTAACCTTCAATGGTGATTCAGTATCAAAATAAGTTCGCGAAAACACAGCTATCTCAGGTAGACAAACTTATAAACACACAGAATATCAAGCGACCCTTGTGCATAGGACAGGAGCTTTGGTTTATCAGTGTAGGGGTTAACTTTCAATCGGCAGGTAACAGGCTTAAATCTCACTCAACCTTCCGGAGTTCGGGCAGTGAAGTAACAGTATTGGCCCTCACGCGGTGTGGTCGGTCGCTCAGTGCATGAACTTATACGTGTTTACCGACAGTTTTTTTCTTGGTTTCTACTAAAATACATTAAAATCGCAATCAAATCTTTAATCAGTTAGATAAAGATAATTCTCTGGAGTCTTTCAACTCTAGATGTTATGTAGGAATCAAGACCTAAATCGATTTTATAGAAATAAACTTTAGGAAAAAACAAATTTCTGTTGCAGTGTCTTAACTTTTCTAACTAATATAACTTTTAATAGTAATGATTTCCGCAAAAAGTGACTAGGTGTACAGTGACCATTCTTTGAATAGTTAAAACACCACTAAGGTTCTTTCAAAACAAAATCGACCTTTCAAAACTGTCCATCTACCAGTCCAGGTTATTAATTTAATAATGAGCCAATACATGAACACTACTTACTTTCAGCGATATGAACGTATGATCGATACGATTATAAATGTGACAACAGATGTCTTGAAATAACTGAAATCTACCACTGAATGAATCACTTTTGCCCAGAGATAAGTAAAGTAGGATTTCGGCGATATGAAAGTGGTAAACTAAATTTTAAAAACAGTAATTTGCAGTCTACAGTCATATAATGCGTTGAAGAGAAGTGCAGTGTTTCACGTTGCCACACATTCCAACGGTATAAGGGAAGTTATAGTAGACACGGGTAACTAAGTCACAAAAAATTCTATTAAAAAGCATAAGCAACCCCACTGATGACAATGATTCACAGTCATGTAACTATTTTGTGCTAAGTTTCTTACCATCTCAAAAGCCAACAAGTAGATATACCATAAACAACTGACAGCTCTCTCTTATTCTGTGGTTTGAAACCTTTAAACTACTGTTTTAACAGACATTCATTCCAGGAATAGACAGTCAAAACGAAAAATGTGAAACATGACTGAGACAGTTCATGGGCTGATCTTCGGTCACTCTGTTTAGTGATCTAAAATCACATTATTCACTACGGAATCTAATCACTACAAATGCTTTCAAATAACCTGCTGATATTTACGTTTTTCTGATATACGGGGATACATACTTGAAAAACTGGTCAAAAGTAAACATCTCAAGGATTCTGAAATGACGACCAACAGTAAATTACTATTATTCGGTGGAAAAAATCTACAAATCGTTGTATGATTAAGGTCAGACTGTTTCGTCAACCTTCAGTTTACACCGATAAACTTTAAAACAAGTACTTTTTAGAACACCCTAGGTAAACTATCAAAATTCAGTTGTAACAACAGTGAAAACTGTGGCTCGATACGCATTGGTAAAAATCCATCAACCATAATAGCGATGTCCTTACTTTAACCGATAGTCAGCTACTTGGTAAATAGGTTACAGTCTCATTAAGCTGCCTATATATTTGTAAGTGGCCACATTTTCTATTTATCAAAAGTGATGGTTCCATCATACTACTCAGGCGATGCTGCATACGGACTGGTGATCAAATGATTGAGGACAACCTGAACAAAGATAGCTAAATAAGGTCACTCACCAAACACATGAATGTCTATGCTTAGGTGGTGAGCGACGTCTATTAAGTGGATAATAATAATAATAATACTCGATTGTCAACCTATGCTACAGCATAACCAACAATATATCAATTTGAATTCTGCAGGAGACGTTCATTCTCAATTCACATATTACATCAAACAATGAGAAGTAGTAAAAATCTGTAACAATAGAAGCTAAGATATTTTCCGAATATAGAGGAAGGATGACTGAACAAGACAGAATGTTTACCACAAATGCACCAATTCAGGTTGCAATACAGTTTACGAACGCATAGAAAACAGACTGTTATAATGTGGAGAGTCCAAAAAAAATGGTACTCAAAAAGAAACAAACAGATACAGAACAGAGCAACAACACTCATCAATAAGAAGCTGAGTGCCATCTCCAGTTTGCTGTAAAAACAGTTTTGAAGACCATAGCTGACTCTCAAAGTGGTCAGAGATGGACAGTGGGTCTCAGAAGTTTCTTCTAAATTATTGGTGTAAGTGAACGCATCCCTGCAGACCCTGAGCACAATGAGGGGCAGGAACAACTGAAAAGTAAATTGACAAGAAGTATACTCAATGATAGCGAACAGTGGTGAATGGTGAAGGCTGAAAAGATGGAAAGGTAGAGGCGAAAGGTATCCGTATACAACTAATTAAACTTATTAAGGAAACCCAACTAAAAGGTCAACGACTAGTTAAACTATAGTGGAGAAGGATAGGTCTGTGATTCACTCTCAAGAAAAATGACTCGAACGATGGGAGGGACACTTCGACGAACAGTTCAGCTGGCCTACCGCCAACATTCCGTTGCTTGCTATCCAGACCCATCCTTAGTGAAACAATCAGATAGGGTTTCACACACTCTATAAAGTCAATAACGCCGTGACTTGAAACGAGGAAGGACAGCAAGGCCAGACACAGCAGTACCAAAAGTAGCTAAGGACAGTGGTCGCCGATGATTGGTCAAACTGAATAAACTGTTAATTTGTATGTGACAGTCAGATATGATCCCCTCTAACTGGTCTCGACCACTGGTTGTCCCAGCCTTCAATAAAGGCGAGAAGTCCTCTAGTGACGAGCGCATGAGAATCAGTCTGCCGAAAATGATATCCTAAGATGCTAGATTCCATAATCATCACATGTCCAGGAGGATCTCGGGCACAACAAACCCGAAGAAAACGGGCAGTTTTCAGGCATGGTTGTGAGTCTGTCCGTCAGATATTCATCCTCCAAAAGGCTTCGGAACACAAACACACTTAACATATTCATATCACATGAATATGCATATGGACAATGAATTATCCAGTAAATAACACTGTTTCCCTGTGTAACAATTCTAATAAACAGACTAAAATGAAACCATAAACATACTGTTGTCGGACACTAACTACATTTCTCTAAATGGTGGTACTGGACTCCGTCAGTCGAGACGTTTCACGGTATTTTCTCTCACTGAAAGTAGTGTCCGGTAAGTCCTTCACTCTGTTAAAGGCCGTGAATTCGAAAACCCCTGAATACGCTAGAGAGCATGGTGAGTTTCATACGTCGAGTGGCTTCTGCTAAGCATGTCCACTCTTTCCATTCGCATTAAATTTTATCACTGATGTGATTCTGAAGGTACCCCATTCATTCTCTAAAATCATAGGGATTGATCTCATCACTCACTAGGAAATCCCTAATAGATGTAGAGTACGCAGATGACATAGTCCTGTTAGGTTGAGATGCTGACGAGACGCAGAGTCATCTGAACACCTTGAGTGACGAATTTAAAACGTTTGAGATGGGTTTCTCGTCAACCAAATGCAAATATTTACTTCAGGATTGGTCTTCAGTGGTGCCTTGTTCTACAAAAGGAAGTGAAATGGTTGATCGTGACGATAATTTGACTTAACTGGGAAGTCTGAACAGCCTTGATAGGTGAATGGCCAACGAAACCTCTACACGGATACAGGAGGTTCGATTGGCTTTCGTCAACTTACGTCATTTACGGCACCGTAGTGGTATCCAGTTATCTAATAATGGTCGAGTGTACTCCACTGCAGAGACAGGTTCGGCGATCAATGGTTACATTACTGTCATTATGGTTGATTTTTCTTCCTTCAAAACAAACATAAGACGGTCAGATATACCAATAAACCTGACTTAAGTGTTATTCTCTTGTTTCTTTTCCGTATTCCTCTCTCTCGCATGCAAATCAAGATATGAAAGTAGATACCTACATACACTTACGTTAATCGATAGATTATTTACATATCTGCAAACATTTAGAAAGTGTGCAATATCGACTCATTAGCTCATATATGATAGAGTAGAGGATGAGTGATCAAGAAGAGACTTCTTTGAATGGTGGCCCTGCTAATGCTGTCACAGTAGATAGAAACACACTTATATGTCTGCTGACAAATGCAAGTGCGTAACTTGCTACCGATAGAGTACTAACTTGCTTGTAGACAATTTTGCTAATAACACAATTTATGAAACAGACAAAATTATTTGTAAGTGTACAGAAAATAAACGAAACGAAACTCGATTACCTTATATCACCTAATTTCGAAGTATAGTATGCAGTATTAGGTTATCTATCTGTGACAGATTGGATAGGATTTGTTTTACGAATGCGATTTAAAACAAGCACTAAAGAAGGGCCTTATGCATTCAGAATGGATTAAAAGACAAATGAAAGAAACGAGTCATAACTGCAGAGTAAGAATGTGATTTTGAATGCGTAAAGGTAACTCAGACTTTCAAGTCCCT